AAGATCACGTGATTGTATCAATTCCAGACGCGGCAGAACTCGTGAAGTGTGCACGTGGCGTACTGCAAAATGGCGTCGTCGAAGTTGGCCAAAAACTAAATACCAAAATCCCTTGTAAGGCGATTACATCTGACGAAAGGCTTGTAGCTGATTGCTCTAATTCTGAGTTGCAAATTTTTGAAACAGATAATGAAGTCTGGATGATTATTTTAAATGAATCTTACGAAGCAGCTAAGTTCACTTACATCGCAATTGCGTCATCGGAACAGAAGGTGTTCATTACCAATCAAACCTATCCCGATCCACATACCAGGTGCTTAGATTTTGACGGAACAACTCTCTGGGAGGTCGTCGATGGACGACTGAGCTTCTGCACTGGTATTTGTATCATGGGTACGCGGCTAATGGTGACGTCATGGAATTCGGGGAAAACGTTCACTTTGTCATCTAACGGAGATGACTTGATTCAGTACAACAACGGTATTGTGGTGTCTCTGTGGAAACTTCGTGCATCTGCTATAAAGAAAATCATCTGCATTTAACAGCACAAAAACACACTATCCGAGGAAGACAAGGGAACAGGCAAGGTGTTCTAAATAAAATGACAATGCAGAATAAATGTCATGCTATGTGCTGTTAAAAGTGACCACTGTTTTTTTTAGAACAAAAAGGTTCCATACATATCAGTGACTTTTGAACTAAATACCGAGGTCATTAAATTGCATGTCTATGAAACCAAATTTCGTGTCTATTACACTTCATTGTGTAATGTTTAGTAAATGATAATAGCAAATGTAAGAAAAATTGATTGCTTAGAAAGTATGTTAATAACATTCGAAAGGTGATTCATTTTATAGGTCCATTTACTATATATGATTGAGTTCCCGTGGTTAAGTAGACACTGATAGCTTAATATGCTTTTATCCTTCCAGGAAATGTCATCTGTTTCATTTTTCAGAGTTAGATATACGTGTTAAATCTCGATACAACCAAGACCGAGCCGGACACATATAACTGGCGATCTAAATAGTATCTATTATATGAATTTTCGAGGGCTTTTAAAGAAAGTTCCAAAGTATCGAGAGACTCGTACAGTATCATCAACTAGAAAGTGAATATTTCAAGAAACTGATGGATTCTGTGGAAGACCACGCAAGAGAATGGGCAAAACGAGAGCTTCCTGAAATAGATCGATTTCCAGTTGGTTTAAATCAATTCTAAATGTAATAACTAGTATCCTTAATTTCCTAGATTAAATCAAAACTCAAACCTGTATTTCTTTACCAAACAAACGCAAACATCAATCAAAGTTCTACATCATAAGTATGTACATATATGTAGTTTGGCAATAGACAACTTAGCATCTACTAACTTAATCTTTGGGTGCAAATACTTCCTTTGTTCAACTTTCAAAAAGAACAACAATGCTTATTTGATAACCAATGAAACCCCACCTATACATTTTCCTTTTTATCTGAAGACGAAGTACAAAATTTGTAGCTATTGACATGCTTCTGTATAATAATATTTCAGAGTGTCGATTTAAACGAACCTGCCTTGTTTGTATTGGATTCCATAACTTCAAGGAATTCCTTATACACAACGTTTATCGCTGGCTCTGTTAGTTACCCAACCAATCCCTTATTCAATCTTCTTACTGTCTTTATTTTATGGTATATACCATTGAATCAGGGTTGAAGTGGCATTGTGAAATTATGTAATCAAGAAGTGGAATTAATGGAATGTGTATTCTGAAAAACACTTTTTATCAGTCTTGAGCATCCTCTCTTCAAAAGAGTTTCTTCTTTCAGATCATTTGACTTTCCACTTTTTACCATACCGAATATCAAACTTAAGGAACGTATTTGTTCTCTTATTATGAGAGCTTGCTTTTCCAAGAGAGGATAACGGCGATATAAATGTGTTGTTGTAAACCATTTCGGGGCATATTATTATTAATTTGTGAAAAACTCGACACAGATCAAGACAAAATGTATTGAGGATGAAGTCGCGAGAATAATGGAGACTTTGCCGTTGTTCTGTCTGACTTGTTCTTGTTTTCACGTGAGGCTGAATTTACTTAAGAGCTAATCAGGACTGGAAACAAAACGTTGTACTTGTAAATGTGTAGACCGCGCNGGGGGACGAATATGAAATAATAAGGCTTTGTTTGTAAAATATTTTGTGTTGAATTCGATCATAAGAACGCGTAATCCCTGTGATTTAGAGAATACAATGAAATATGTATAAATAAATGTTTCTATATCAGTAATTCCACGGCCTTTATTGTATGTGTTTGGAAACAACGTTTTGTCTTTCGTTGTGTCAAGATTGATTGTCTCACATAACTTTTCTTAAAACCATCCTAACGCTTTAAAATATTCAGGAGTATTCTTTATGTGGACGCTCTGAGCCAATGATTTCTTGACACTTGTCATGTGCAGTGAATTAAATGTTATACTTGATGAACGTATTCCGTCTTTGCGTATTGCAGAGTTATCTTCTCTTGAGAGCAGGTATTGACTGTTACGTCATTTGTTTGTGAGAATAACGTCATCAATTTTTGAGAAAACGACGTAATTTTCTCACACAAACCAATGACGTAACAATCAATACCTGCTCTCAAGAGAAGATAACTCTGCAATACGCAAAGACGGAATAGTCTACCTCTCAGAAAATGTCGCCTAATTCATTTGAGTAATGATGTACCATATTGAATAAAATCTTTGAGATTTGATATTTGTGTAATGAACTAATACTATTACGTGTTATGACATGATATCAAGTATTACACACCTTTTTATCAGTAAATAATCGCGTCTGCAAGTAAGTGATAAGTACTTAAAAGCAATAGGCAGCTGTATTTGACATTTCACGCCTTACCGGCCAAATATTTTACACCTCATTATTTCTAGAGGTAAAGGTCACAGTGACCTAGATATAGAGCACTGCACACCTTCTGTGTATGAAGCAAAATATATTCAAAATTAATAAAAATATCTTCGGAAGTTTAAAGGTAAAGACACAGAGAAGAATTTACCTTGAGGTCAAGGTCACAGTGATCTTATCCACAATGCGCTTTACATCTTCATTGGTGATGCAGGTGCACTTGAAAATAAGATTTCAACTATAATGTACTTGACCTTTGATCCTTGGGGTGAAGGTCACAGTGTCCTGGTTATTGTACACTGCACGCCTTATACGGGATAAATATGCAACTACTGTTCAGATTTTAACAAAATATCTTCAACAGGAGCACCGCAAACGGATGCATAATACGCCCGTCTGACCCTATGCAATGATTTTTTGCACGTCCAAATTTCAAAAAATAGACACTATTTTCCCAAATAAAATCCATAATGTCCTTCATAGACCCCACATGAACATCCATACCAAATATTAGGACAATAACACATGATCTGGCTGAACTGTACACCACTGAAGAAACTTGCACCCAAACTTTAACTGAGAAATTGCGCAAGAAAAATTAAGTCCCTAACACGTACAAAATTTCCAAAAATAGAAATTATTTTCCCAAATTAAATCCATATTGTCCGTCTTAGACCGCACATGAACATCCATGCCAAAATTTAGGACAATAACACATGATCTGACTGAACTGTACACCACTGAAGAAACTTGCACCCAAACTTTAAACGGACGGGCGGACGCAAACGCTATACCATAATACGACGGGCGTATAACAATTGGAAAGTTATGACTTAAACAAAATTTTGCAGAACGTTTTGCAATTTTTGTCTTTTGATCTTGAACCCATATCATTAAAGCCTCCGTGACGCAACAACAGTACACTGCACACCTTCAGTTGGTGATGCAGGTACACTTAAAGTGACATCAAGATCTCCTCACATTTGAAACGTTCATTCGAATGGTTGACATAATAACACTAGTTGTTGTTTTCAAATAGAAATGAAAACAAGGTGAGAAGCGGCCCACATTCTATTACATATACCCCTTCCTCACCCCGTCAACCAATACTGATATGGTGTATAGGACACAGTCTGTAAACAGTATTAACCTTCGCCGATGGTCATCCAAAACTTACTAGGTTGTGGTTGAACTAAAGAACATTCCTTAAAAGTTTAAATAATTTAAATCACAATTTATTTATTAATGTTGTTTAACAGCATTTAATTTTTACATATGTATATACATATCAAATAATTTAAATTTGCATTATTTTAACAATGAATAAATACATAACACATTTGAACAATAAAGTAAATGCAAAAAATAGATCTTCTTCCAAGAGTACTTACTTAGTTCATGCGAAATTTTGGGACTATAAATATTTGCTTACACATGTACAGAAATAGTTACTTAAATTATCAAAACCAGCAACTTTAAAAAATGTTTTTCATTTAGTGAATTGAGATTACAGTCTTACGAATACAAACCTTAGATATAAAAACAAGAGGACAATTTGACCTGATACGCTCACCTGTTATTCCATGCTGGTGACAAGTACATCTCTCATCTGTAACCTTCAAAGTGGGTCAAGATCTTTTTTTACATGTAAATACTTCATATAAAGCAGGTTTTACTATAAAACTTTAGTAAGGAGCAGGCTACTTTAAAACTTCAGGCCAGATAGCATGATTTTAGCATATTGGACCCTGGTTCTTGAAAGTTGGTTTATTTGAATATAGCTAGTGGACAGTCCTTTACACTAATAAGCCATGTCACAAACGTGATCAATCTATGTCTGATGAATCTTAAAATATTTCTGTTCTTTGATTATTATAATTCATAAATTGACCTTTACCTCTGCATACTATCAACCGAATATCATTACCATAAGCTTTATGAGGTTTTAGAAATTGTTTTGGACATTTTTACCACTATGACCTTGAAGCAGGTCAAGGTTAGTATAAGATGGAAGCTATTTTTTCAAACATGATTCATCAATGTGACCTTGATAGTGATTCAAGGTCATTCACTTGAACAAATTGATAACCCTTTATCCCAGCATGCTCATGGCAAATATCATTACCCTTGGTCTCTTGGTTATTAAAAACAGTTGCTTAAATATTTCAACACATTTGAACCCTTAAGAATGGGTCAGGGTATATCTTTTGAACAAACTTAAATTCCCTTCATACAAGTGTGCTACTAGCCAATCATCTTTACCCAAGGTCTCTCAGCTATTCAGAAAAAGGATGTTTAAATGAGAAAATTTACGCTTAATAGTTAGCAATTTGTGATGGATGAGCTGAAAACGTAAACCATCACAGAAAACATAGATAACTGGTTTTGCTCCATTGATATGATCACTTAACACAGTCACAAACAAACACTCTATGAACACAGACACAAACAAACATCCTGTCACATGGATTAATGTTTGCTCCGATACCAATTTTCTCCTTTACCCAAACATGTGCTTGTGGTCCTACATTTCAACGAACAGTGATATGGATCCGATGACTAGCTTCTATCTAATTCACTAAATGTCTCTTTCAGAGTCATAAAACTTTATCAAACAAAGTTCTTGTTTTTCTTTGCAGGAGTAGATCCTTGATTCAAGCAAAGGTTTTTAACATCAAATTTCAATATTTTGAAGCCCCTACTCCTTTTAAAGAACTTGCATTGACCCCTTCCCCAGCTCCCTCCCGAAACATTGAGAATCCCAGATTCCGTCCCACATTGTAGGCTCGGAGTTACAAAATAACAATAATTTCATCAACTTTTTAACATACACTGATTATGTTTTGATAAGGTGTTTCCTTATGTCTTCCTACTTTATTTGGTCTTGTTACACAGAGCTGTACGGATAAACACCAAACACAGAGGTGGAACTAGTCGGCCTCGTAAGTACAGTGTGTGTCAGTAACAACTTTACCGTTGATGTTTGAGATCGTTGTGACTGATATTTCCTTTTATCATACTACATATATCCTGCTACAGAGACACTGTAATTAACCTACACCACAAGGGACACTGAAACGCTCAGCCGTATATATAGCAGTGAGTTTAGAAAAAAACAAGGTTTAAGGACAGAAAACATTGTAGCCTTTTGATGTCTTAATGTTGGACATAACTGATCATGTCATATATATTAGTTTGGCAATAAAATCAGTTTTCTCCAAAAATCAACATTTTGCAAGATCAGTGAAACCTCCTTATTCTGGGTACTTCATTTTTAAATACAGCTTTTGTTTACTTGATATACCATAAAATGGTTAATATTCGTTGGGGTTTTAATTTCGTTGATTTCGTGGGTACTCTTTATCTTTATACTTGTGTTCTCTATGCCAATACTTTGAAAAAAGTACAATGGGGTTAGAAATGTAAAAATCTAAACCTTTGAAACCAAATAAAGGGAGGTAATTGTGCCATAAATAGCACAATTTCCTCAAATACATCCAGATTTTTATTAAAAAAGGCATTTATAGGAATAGAAACTGTCATCTGATGACAACAGACACAAAAGTGTCATAGTTTACATATTTCTCAAAAATAATTTAAATGTTGATTTGAATATATTAGGTGACTGTCCAGTGTTTTTTGGTTAATTATATTTCTTGTATCCTGTAACATTTGTCCACTCATGTCCTCTGACAGCACATAACGATATCCTCACCGTAGTTTCTTCACCTGAAAATCAAACAAAATCTAGATTGATCCCTTCTAACTTAACATGTTTTGTGTATTAACCCTTTCACCCCTATGTAACTTTAGTAGACTCTACCATGCATTGATCTGGATGAGTTCTTTATGGTTTACAGTGGTGGAAGGGTTAACATCAACAGTGAGCAACAGTCCACATAGATACAGAACGCATACCACTATATCCCTACCCCACAAATCAGGAAATCAGAAGTTATCATTATGACCTTCGACCCTTTAATCTTTGATAACGACGACCACTGAAATAAAAAAATGTGGAGAACTTTATATGTTACCTAAAAATAAACTAAATTTGTTATGAGGTCAATGAGATTAACAAACTTTAAAGTCACTCTTTTCCAAGCTTTCGGGCTTAGCCCTTCGTCAGGCATTAAATGTCACCGGACATCTTTGTCACATCCATCTTAACAAACATTTAATCCCTGACGAAGGGCCCTATAGGAACATATGTTTATAGACATGGGGTCAGTGAGATATCGTAAATACAAGTATTTTTTACATTAAAAGTAGTCCAGTGTGACCTAATGAGCCTTTAACCTTGACCAATGACCAACATGTTCCTTAACATTGATGCACTGCCACTTTACCTTTGTCAGAAAGGCATCACAGGCCTCCGTTGTAAACTGGTCCAGCGTCTGAGCCCCATGGTTCAGGTTCCCTCTTTTCATGGCCTTATAAATAAAAAATAATGTGATGTAGTGTATTTAAGTAATCATGAAAAAATATTCTCATTAAATGAATTATTGAAAATAAGTTACTTAGAGTAGGGCTGGGGCCAATCTTGGTAAGGTTTGTTTATCCAAATCTTCCTGCTCAGCAGTAAAATGAAAATTAATACTTGGTAATGATTTAGCATATTTCAGTAATCATAAACAAATATTCTCATTAAATGAATGACTGAACATTATTTCCCAGGAGTAGGGCTAGACCCAAGGTTCAATCTTGGTCAGAGATGTAAATCGGAATCTTCATGCTCAGTGGAATCTGCTCAGGCGACCATTGGTATTAGCAGACCATCTAACCACAGGCACTTATTGCTGGATTGAGGCAGATCGAGGAGAACGAAAGTTTGTTTACATACCTAATGTATACAGACAAGGTATTGCACACATGACCAGAAATGCATTTAGCGTGAGACCCGGCTAGGGTTTAAAGATATGACAATCTGAAAACGACTCTCCTTTCTTCAAATATTTTTGAAGAATAAATTAATCATGTACGCTATCATACAGTGGTTGTTTTGTTCATCTATGATGCCACCAGATTATTTTGTTTTTTTATGGTTTGCACATGGTGTGCATCCCAAGTCATGTTACGTTCTGTAACCTCACAGGTTCACACCTGTATAGCACATCAGGTAACTGTCATTAAATTTGGATAAAAACGGTTGTCTGGCCAAGATAACCTGATTTCAGTAGATCCCGTTCTCTTTTTCCTCCATCTTAGCTTCACTGTAAGAGGTAAAATGACAAGAAAAACCTAAAAGACTGTAAAAAAGTGACTAATTTGACCAAAAAGGAATGAGACATTAGTACAGTATGGCTTATAGATCAGAGGGAACAGTCTGAATGAAATGACAATCTGTAAAGCATTACAAGATTGATAAGTATATACACCCTCAGTCAAACAGCTATAAATACCTTGTCTAGAGCATAATACAGTCCATCAGGTCCCAGGTTGTATCCAGATTCCACAACTCTGTGTAAGTGAATATAAGATTGATCAGAAATATATAAAGAATATTTGATATCATAGAAGATAATCAATATGATATGTTATGTTGTGATGACATGAACTTATATGTTGAAATACCTTATTAATCATTTAAGTTTAATTAAAATGAAATTAATCCTGCCTTAGCCCTGTAGTTGACCTATTTATAGCAACAGTGACCTTGGCATTGACCTTGAAACTCATCCAAGATATTCTTATTCTTATATATATCCTTTATGTATAACAGAATACAGAACTTTAAACTCAGAAGTGTTAACTAAACGATAGCTCAAACACAAAATTGATTGACAAAATTTTATCAAATAATAATTGAGGTTCTTATATACCGCTTTATCACAACCTAGTCCGTAGGTTGTCTCAAAGCGGTTCACAAATTATTATCCGTGGTTATAGGACCTTTGCAACCAGCCAATATCTTTCTCAGCTCCCTGAGGAGCATACAGTTGGTGCTACCATTTCGACGCTCACAGCTAGCATTCTACAATTCTAGCACTGCCCAACCAACCAAAAACTGTCATTGAGCATCACAACCACATTGGTGGTTTAATACAAAATGTTTACATCAAAGAGATAATGGCCAGAATTAATATCATGACAATGCCTGTATTTACCTCCTAGCATCGGATTTATTACTAGCCAACGCTGTTCTTAATTGATCCAGGACTGTCTCACATAACACTTTGTCTGCCTTTCCACTTTTCTGGAGGTCTATAGACTTGAAAAGCATCTCCGACAGCTTCACATAATCTGGAAATGGGAAATTATTTTAAAATATATGTGTAAATTTAGCACAATGAATATCACGAAAATAAAAACAAAATGCATCTACAAATACACTTTTTCTGAAAACCAAGAGGCCCAATGGGCATGTATCGCTCACCTGGATACCTAAGCAATCATGGCAAAATATTCTCCAAATGAGATCAAGGGAATATGCCAGACCCCAAGGCCAATCCTTGTAGCTTATCTGTATTAGATTTGTCATGCCCAGCAATTCCATGTATGGTTATGGGGAGGGAATTTAAACTGTTTCCAAGCTTTGACCAAGGGTGGGGCAGTCCCCAAGGCCATCCTGCATTCGTCTCTTTATGCCCAGCATTTGAATATATAGTTTTGGGGTGGGGATCTCAACAGTTTTAAAGTTATGGCCCAGGGACTATGTCTCCTAGGCTGGGGCCAGAACCTAGGGCCATCCTGGAAGCATTCTTCTCTTTATACTCAGCAATTGTATACCATGGCGGGGATCACAACCATTTCCAAGTAATACACTTTTTTTGGCCCCACTCCTTAGCCTTGGGGGTCAGACCCACCATTTGTACAATTATGAGTCCACACCACCTAGGGATGCTTCCAGTCAAATGTGGTTGATATCCAATTCTTGGTTCCAGAGAAGAAGTCGCTTAAAGCAATATAGCCAAATTGCCCCCTTTTGGCCCCGTCCTTCAGCCCCCTGGGGGGTCAGCCCCACCATTTGTACAATTTTGAATCCCCACCACCTAGGGATGCTTCCAGTCAAATTTAGTTGAATTCCAATCAGTGGTTAAGAAGAAGAAGTTGTTTAAAGAAATTGTTGACATACGGACATACGAACAGACGGACGGAGGAACGAAACGGTATGGCATCAGCTCACATTGGTCCTTCAGACCTGGTGAGCTAAAAAGGTTTGTAAGTTTTAAAGCAATTACTTTTTAATACAATGTGTTTTATTTCTTTTGATTAGCAGGTCTTAACTTTATCAAATTTCAAAAATCAAATATTGTCATGATCATTAAAACAGAAAGTCCTTAAATGACAATTGTGTTACTATTTTAAAAAGACAATGACATCCACAGGGACACATGAAAAAAAAGCGTTTTTTAGAAAATAAATAAATAAACAAGAAATTGTTGGCTTACAATTTGAGAGGCTTTTCACCTATAGATATCACACCATTGAGGTAACGACTTTCAAATTTTGAAATGTTGAAAATTGATTAAAGGATAAATCAAGTTCAGAAATTTTAGCAGTTTACTCAAAAATAGCAGAACAAAAAAAGTGTTCAACTTCTGCTTTGGGTTATATTTTTGTAGGTGAACGCTTTTCTACCAGGACTTTTACTACTGGTGGAAGGGAAGTAACTCGCAAATAGTTCTGGTATCTTTGAAATTTATCGCAAAATTACATGTTCGAATTTGACCTATGAAATACCGGAAGTTGATCTTTGATGGTAACTTATGTCCATAAACCTTGTAGCCTATCATCCTAGCATGCTACAGACCAAATATCAATACCCTGGGCATTTCCGTTATTGAGAAGGAGCCTTTTGAAGATTTAAACATAATTGACCCCAGTGCTTGAGCACAAAATGTTCGATAAGTATTATGACCTTGGGTCACTTGGTTATTGAGGAGAAGTTTTTTGAAATTTGTTTCACAAAATTACACATTTGAACTTTGACCCCTAACGAAAACCGGACGTTGACATTTTTTGTTTAAACAGTATGAAAGAAAAGTTTGCTGTTGCTTATCTCTATATGATATCCAAAAATCAATCTCTTGCTTGATATCGTTAACGAAATATATTGGTATAGGCTGTTAACCAATCAGAGTTTGTGGTGGCCATCTTAGATTATTAATTACTCCAAAAAGTAGCAGAAGTTTGTAAGGGTCGCTAGAGAAATACATGTACATGTACCAATTGTGGTTAATATTGCAATGGCAGAATTGGAGAAGAAGATCGTTGAAGTTTATAAAGATATTGTCAGTTTTCAAAACAGATCAAAGGCAACAATTAACACACCATAGGATGTTAACGGAACATGTTGCAGAAAAAATAAATACATCAAATTGATCGGAGTTTTTTAACTAAATAAAAAATGAAAAAAAAATGAAAATATGTGACCTTTTCTACAGTGGTGAAAGGGTTAAGAAGTTTATGTTTATGAGTTACCTTGATAGACAAGTATCTTTATTCTGATACTGTGTATTTACAACTCCTGGTTAAGAAACAGTAGTGTATAGGTCAATAGTCCAACTCCTTGATTTCTCAAACATCAATACATCTGTTGAAATTGACTAAAACAAATACCTTATGATAGTGTCAATGGTGACTGATATAATCTTACATGGGTCTGTTCTGTGGACGGTGATATCGCAACCCGAGTGTAAGAGTACTTAAGTTTGGCTGGCCAGCGCTCGGTTTTGACCAGCCAAACTCTTGCACTCGGGTTGAGATATCCCTGTCTATGGAACAGACCCATGTTTGATTATATTTCTCACATACATACAAATAAACAAGTTCCAGTCAGAATAAACATTGATCTTATTCTTCCGTGAAAACTCCAAAACCCTAGGGTTGTGACAGAGTATTCCTCATTCACAACAATTGTATGACATCACAGAATAATTCATCATTATGACGTCATAGCTTGTGTCAGCTGTCTTTCCCTACCCTGTTTGAGATATAGTTATCTCTTCCCTAGCAACAACAGGATCACCCTGTGAAGTATGCTGAGAAAATGTAATCTTATAGTTTTCTTTACCTAATACTCAATGATAAGATGACTAGTTTTACTTTGAGCAAGACTTACCAAGTAATACACAGCTGGTGAAGACACCAGAACAAAACACATCAAACTTGATACATTCATGCTCAGCACACTCTATCCTCTTTAATAATTTGATTTGAACAGTCTGAGGAACGTCTCTGAAAAATAAAATGTTCATGCAAAAAAAAATTACAACTTTGACCAATTAATAAATCTTAATGACAGGAAATGCAATTTCACAAATTTTGGTTTGGTTAGTTTTGTGCTTTACATCCTGCTGATAGCTTTGGTCATTTAAAGACAAGCCAGGTTATGTGGTGGAGGAAAACCAGAGTTTCCATAGAACAAGAATTCCACGGGAGTGGATGTGTGACGCCTGCTCAGCACTTTTAGTATGAAAAGTGTTTTGGCTTGAGTTATTGCGTTAACAGATATGCCAACACGCAGAAAGTTGGAACTTAACAGAAAAATGCGTAATATATGTTGAACATTATTGCTTCTAACATTACCGTACAAAACTGATTAAAAAACAAAAAAGTTCTTGCATTTACTACACAATGCCCTTATTTGGCAATAAAAGGGGCATAACTCCACCAAAAATACAAGTAAACTTCTGAAATGTCGTCTTGCCTGAGCTCTATTGGTATGCAATATGTGTACAAAGTTTGAGTTTAATCAACCTAAGGGAACTGTACATTGTATGTCGCCTCGCATTGCAGGCGACACAAAAACTACCGATCTGTGGCCTACCTGTAGACCTCAAATGCGCGCCCAAGTGATGGAGGGCTGGTGATCGTAGAAGGTCAGACAACTTAACCACTCGGCCACCAAAACAGTACTTCTGACTAGAAGTTACTCTAGACCAAAGATCTATCAGTTGAGCTATACCTAGAATGAATCACTTAATCCAAGCAGTTGCACTAAAGCATTGAGCTAGGCCCTGCAGAAAATGTGTTTGTAAAATGTTGACAGAAATACATTTGACATAATGTTGTATTCATTGATTGGAGGAACTGTACAGTGCTGCGCTCAAACAGTCAGTTAAAGACGTGTGCTTATGTAGCGCTTCATGATCAGGAAATCACAAACTACTGTCAGCTTAAAATTAAACCTTAACAAATACAAAACATGTGCTGCACATATATATGCCATATGTGTATTTTCAACGCTTTTTATCGTGTCATTTCACCAAGAATTGTGTAATATAACATTTACTGCTAGTTATAGTCAAATCTATTTTTAATATCAGGATGTGCCTACCTTGTAAAAATATGTAAAAAAAAAAGGGAATTCCATTGCAAAATAAGACTAACTCTGGCAGAGCCTGCTTGCATGCCAACCGATATGTTTTCAGGACTTCTGCAGTTATTATTTTTTAATGTATTATCCTATGTATAGTTTAACTTTAATGAACACATCACACTATAAACCAAAAATGTTGGGGTTTTTTAAGATGAAAGGCAGAGTTATTATGTTGGTTCTCACAAAATAAATCTTAAAACAGATGTATATCTGTGAAACAGGTAATATTTATTATAATACATCCTAATTGCCCATCAACATGGAAAAGTTGATATTTGAAATAAGGGTTCATAAAAATTTGTCCCTTTTTATGGATAAAAATATAGAAGGTAGGGTCTGAAATAATTGTTAACATTTGATACAGGATCAGGGTCCTAGAAAAAAGTAACTGACTGTGGTGGAAGAATGCAAAATATGTGTTTAAAATTAGGGTTGATCCCTTTCTTTGGTTGATGACTTTGATAAGCTATAAATAATAACAATAATATACAACATTTGATATAGCGCCCTATCTAGCTAACATAAGCCACTCTAAAGCGTTTTACAGTACATAGGTAAACAATGAATACAATTAGCATATATACATTTAATCAATCCATGTTTTGAGGAATTCGCAGGAGCTGCCTTATCAGGTGCTAACTGCTAGTCCTATGTCACCTGGCTAATATCTCCCTATGTTTGTATGCCTGCGTGTGTGCTAGAGATGTAATAAAGCTGATGTTTTGAATGTAACAGTTGCATGAGAAAGTTCATCAAACTATATACAAGAGTTTGACTTACTTGCATAGAGCTTTGATTAAGTCTGTGTAAACGGTTCCATTGACACCGTATACTTTCTTCGTAACTTTGTGTTTCTGTAGAAGGTTGTAAGCCATTCTGACGTTGGTTTCAAACACAGGTCGACTGTGGTGGGTCATCAGTAGTATCTGCTTGGCCTTTGAAACTAAATTTGTCTCATCTTCTAGTGAATCAAAACTGGAAAGTAATTGAAAATATTTTAATAAATTTATTTGTTTCAGAATGAAATATTTTTTTATAACAAAGTAACATTTATTTATACACAATAAAGCAATCAAAGATGTGTAGCTATATTTATTTTGAAATCTTCTTGCACAACAGGTTGTTCCCAATAGCTCAAATTAAATGCATTGCATATATTAAAACAAGCCATTTGGATTGATATGTCTCGCCTGTACCCCGCTTTGACCATCAATACACATGTCAAGTTTGGTTGGTGTAGCACTTATAGTTGCAGAGAAACTAGCTTAAACACAAAAACTTGACGTTGATGCCGCTGTCGCCGGAAATATGAAATACAACACCTTAAAGTCTCGCTTCCGCTACTTCGTGGCGGCAAGACAATAGAATCACAAAACATACGTATACTTTGTTTGAACCAATCTAAGGAGTCATTACAGAAACTTGAACAGGCAAATCCCAAAGTTCCTTTGGCGAAATATATAACTCTATGTAAATGTGACTACTTATTAGTTTACATGAGAAGATCATATTGATGACAATTCAAACAAAATGTTCTGAAAGAAGTTATAATACACTAGCAGCTACTATTCTACAAACTTCATTCCTTCTATATGCGTATTATGGGATAAATACTGCATTACAAATTAATTATTGTTTTGTTTATACTGGCAAGACACGGAATAGTACAAAATATTCTGTTCTTATAATGTGCACGATAGTGATGCATTTTGTATATTTCTGACTATAAGACAAGGTATTCTCAGCTTAAAATAAAATTGTGCTTTGTTTTAAAAAATATTGCATCAATTATCATGTATTGATTTAAAGTATGACAATAATTTCCCCATTTGACTGCTAAAAAGATGGGTGCATGGTCTTAATTTACAGACATGGCCTTTATATTGCTAGATAAACCGGGTAGCTACCAGGAATACATATCATTTTCATCACAGATTCATATATTCATCAATGAATAAACTTGGACTTTTGGTTATCTGCAAAATTTACCTTACAGGTATTGAGTTAATACTGAATAACAATTCCTGTTTCTATCTTGTATAACTTACTAATCTGCTAAGAAGGCGATCGGATCCTCTGGTCGGTTGCTGATAACTTTCTCCAACACATCTTTGATAAGTGTCCCTGTACTTGTTCTCTCTGAATTAGTAAAACATCCAGTAAATGCCTTTTAGGACAAAAATAACATGTAAAGAACTGTTAATGTTGTGATGATGTTACCAATAACACATCTTCTGATTTCTCTTTACCCTTTCACCACTGTAGACCATAATGAACTTATCCAGATCAAAGCATGGTAGAGTTTAATCAAGTTACACAGGGGTGGTTAATGTAAAGTATATTATCTCTGATGAAACTTTATTATGCAGACCAATACACACATTTAAAATACTATTGATTATATATATATATTGAATTATCAAAACTCTGTCAATTGTCATAAATCAAACTGAAACTTGATATAGAGGTACATTATGTATATAATGATATGTTGAGATACATTATGTATACAATAATATGTTGAGGTACATTATGTATATAATAATATGTGTGAGGTACATTATGTATATAATAATATGTTGATCGAGGTACAGTATGTATATAATAATATGTTGAGGTACATTATGTATATAATAAAATGTTGAGGTACATAATGTATATAATAATATGTTGAGGTACATTATGTATATAATGATATGTTGAGATACATTATGTATACAATAATATGTTGAGGTACATTATGTATATAATAATATGTTGAGGTACATTATGTATATAATAATATGTTGATCGAGGTACAATATGTATATAATAATATGTTGAGGTACATTATGTATATAATAACATGTCAAGGTACATTATGTATATAATAATATGTCGAGGTACATTATGTAAATAATAATATGTCGAGGTACATTATGTTTATAATACTATGTCGAAGTACATTATGTATATAATAGTATGTCGAGGTACATTATGTATATAATATGTCGAGGTACATTATGTATATAATATGTCGAGGTTCATTATGTATATAATATGTCGAGGTACATTATGTATATAATAATATGTCAAGGTACATTATGTATATAATATGTCGAGGTACATTATGTATATAATATGTCGAGGTACGTTATGTATATAATACTATGTTGAGGTACATAATGTATATAATGATATGCTGAGGTACATTATATATATATAATAATATGTCGAGGTTCATTATGTATATAATAATATGTCGAGGTACATTATGCTTATAATACTATGTCGAGGTACATTATGTATATAATAATATGTCGAGGTACATTATGTATATAATAACATGTCACGGTATATTATTATATACATAATATGTCAAGGTACATTATGTATATAACAATATGTTGAGGTACATTATGAATATAATTTTATGTCGAGGTACAATATGTATATAATAATATGTCGAGGTACGTTATGTATATAATAATATGTCAAGGAACATTATGCATATAATAATATCTCGAGGTATAATATCTATATAATAATATCCCGAGGTAACTTATGTATATAATAATATGTCAAGGTACATTATGTATATAATAATATGTCGAGGTACGTTATGTATATAATAACATGTTGAGGTACATTATGTATATAATAACATGTCACGGTATATTATGTATATAATAATATGTAGAGGTACATTATGTATATAATTTTATGTCGAGGTACATTATGTATATAATTTTATGTTGAGGTACATTATGTATATAATAATATGTCAAGGTACATTATGTATATAACAATATGTTGAGGTACATTATGTATATAATAATATGTCGAGGTACAATATGTATATAATAACATGTCACGGTATATTATGTATCCCTAATGTGAGGTAAGGATAAGGTAATTAAAACACAAGGGCTTTGCCGAGGTTCTTCACGAACAATAGCGTGACCCCGAAAGATCACTATAATTCCACCACCAGTCTGCGCATGTAAGTGATCTAGACGGATAGAATTTTCAAGCACCGCCAGAAATGTGTATGTTTCGATCTAGTATGTTAGAAATAGTTCTGTAACAGCTCAATTGGCATGGTATCAATCTATAGGCTATATACTCAAAAGAGACCAGAGTGGCTTTAATGTTGAAGGGTATTGTTTGAACAGTATCAGGTTGGGGAAAACAACCAACTTGCGTATAATACGCAAACAAGCCTTATACGCCAATTGGAGTATGGATTTGTTGTTAAAAATAACTCAAATCGCTTTAACAGTAACTTTTGCAATATATTATTAAAAATCACATTTGTTTACGACAAGGTGCACAATATTTTGCTAAAAGATGTTAACTGAAAGTGTTGGCTACTTAGAAACTTGATGTAACTCTACCGGAAATATTGCATCTATTTTTGATACTTTCCTACATGGAAATAAATTTTATATATGCATTTGTATGATCTTTCATTACTAAATAAATGCGACTTGGATAAACAATCTGAAAAAGCTAAGATTAAAGTGATTTTGGCTATTTTTAGTAACCAATCCATACCCCAATTAGCGTATAATAGGCGAGTTTGCGTAGTATACACAAGTAAGTGGTTTTACCCGACTTGAGTATTGTTCAGTGATGTTGTTGTGATGCACATAATTCATAAACTCTTGGGTATGATAAATTATGCAAAGAAATAAATACATATATAAATATAACTAATATTAAGTTCTTATCTGATCAATATTAAAAATCAAAGCTTTGAAACCCGGTAACTGTGAAAAACATGTAAGTTAAAGTACAGTATGTAGCAAACGTTTTAACATTCGTTCATCTGCGTAACCCATGTGTGAAGTCTCCGGTGATGGTCAGTTTTATCAAGCAATGGCCATTGGTAAAACAAACTTAAATTGATTTGACAATATGCTCATCGTTGCTTACCGAGAAACTGTCTGTCTGTCTCTTGTACTATACGATCGTCTGCAGAGTTGGGCTTCTTTTTGTCCGCCATATTGTAAACAAAATGGAAACTACGTCCAAGTCATGTAGACGTTTGAAAAATATTGAAACAAAGAAAGATAACTCTTCATTCACTCTATGCAACTGAAAGTTTCTATTAGTTCCACTGTTAAACAAAGAGTTGAAAAGGGTAATATCTACAGGAAAGTAACAGATGTATCTATATTCCTGGAAACATATGACCTCTTGTCAGTTCTAAACCGATTTTAACAACTTTTGGGCACAAATAACTGTAGTATAATGTGGTTTCTAATCACCCCTCCTCTCATGCAGTGTGTTCTGGTTTACTAATTCAGTGATTTAAACACATTATAACTTAATATATTTTTACAAATGTATTTTCAATGTTTCATATTGAAAATGAATTAAATTAAATTTGTCGATAATTTTATTTCAATGAAATTGAAAAGTGGAATTGAAATTTTAAACAAATATACATGTTACAATGATAATCAGGTTGTTTGTGAACTCATTGATGGCCTTTATTTATCTAAGTCCGTGCTTTAACATTGTACTATACATTATAATTCATGTATGCATGGTGACGTCCCTTTACCTTAAAATATTAAAAAAAAATATATTACTGCGCGGTTAAAAACATGGCGTATACATTAACTTGAGGTTCTTATCATGTCAGTAATACCAGGGACGTCTAGACTGTCCCTGGTAAAACGTACATACGCTCATGATCATTGTCCCTCTACACATCTAATCTTGATTTAACGATACGAATTACGTCTGTTACTCAGTAGAGATACATCGATATCTAACGCTAAAATTAACATATGACATCGCATTATAAATCAAAGAAAGTATGGATGGCCCCTCATTCTTCAGTATTAGAATCGTAGGTAGTATGTAATTTTTTGTAGATAACACAATATTTTCTCTCAATAATCGTTTCGAAAACAATAATTTAATTAGAAATCAGGAGGCATTATCATAGTTTTATTTGCGTATAGAACAATCTCTTAACTGAGGTATCTTGGTTACAGGTACTGCTAGTATAGGCCTGTACTGAAAATATTCGAAACAGCTGACTGTAAACTCTTCTTGTTAAAAAAGCATTTTCAAAAGTTAAAAGAAAGAGTAAACTATGGAACAGGAAGTCAGGAAATACACAAGGAATAGTGTAAAGTGCGGAACAAAGTACGGACGCTGACCAGGAAAGCAGTTAAATCGTACGAGATGCAAATTAATAGCGCAACAAGTCAAAGAAAATCTCAAGAAAGTCTGGCGTTATGCAAAATTTAAAACCGCCATAAAAGGGAATTATTTCTAAACTTTATACCGGTCCAAACAAGAATGACGTAACTGGATCTGATTTAGAAAAAGCGAATGTGCTCGATGATATCATTCAAACTGTACGTATTTACCAGAGTCTGAGAGAATCGAAGGAAGCAATGCAAGATTATCAAAAAACTAAAGGTAGAGCCAAACACAAAACTCAATATTAATCCGGAAAAAGTGTGAAAAAAGCTACTTCAATTAAATAAAACAAAATCACAAGGACCAGATATGATTCTACAAAGAGAAACATGCGATATTATGTCATCCACTGTCATTAATTTTCCAGAAGATTTGGAATTTGTGAATTTCGAAAAAAATCTGTGTTATCATAGACAATAAATTATCATTTGATTAACATACCTGAAAAAAGTAAATATATCTAATTTCATTATGGCAGTTCTACGAAGAACAATTGAATATATGAACTTGGAGAGTTTTAGGTTGCTATACACATCTTTAGTTAGACCACACATTGAATACGCGAATCAGGTTTGGTGTCCTCATCTCGAAAGACACATTGAAACAATAGAAAATGTTCATCTTCGAGCACCGAAGCAGGTACCTGACCTAAAATACTTATCCTATAAGGAACGATTAGTAAAAACTAAAAATGCCAACACTAGCATATAGAAGATCCCGTGGCGACATGATAGAGGTTTACAAAATATTGTCCGGGAAATATGACCATGAAGTATCCGACATATTTAATATCAGCGAAAGTTCCTCTACACATGGTCACAACTTAAAATTTACAAATCGCATTCAAGATTAAATATTCGAAAATTTTCCTTTGCACAGAGAACTGTTGATTTATGGAACAATCTACCGTCAAATATTGTTAATTCAAGCGCAGTTAGACAATTTGAATATAAATTAGATGAACACTGGCAAAACTGAGAGATATACAGTTTTAAAGACAAAATCGAACGAAATCTAAACGTCGCAGCTTTAAAAATATATTTTCATTAACTTTTTATTTTATTTCAGAGCTGACTCTCAAAGGATTGTAAAATCCTAATTTTGTCAGAATAAATACATTTGTTTAATATCGTATCATTCTATATTTACAGCATACATATGCTTTTTCTGCCGCTATCTTTCACCTTACTCACGCTGGTGTCCAGCCAACATGATTCATAACGTCTCTTGTACTAGAAGCATCATCTACATGTATATCAACGTCGAAGTAATAACACAATCCGAGTTCATACTATGAAGATTGCCAAATATCATAGCAAACAGTCATATATTACAACGACATCCCAAAGAGTCTAGCACCCTTCCTTCGTCAGTGATAGGTCGAAAGGGAATCCAGCATCTCCAGATATCCCATTCCCTCTTCATTGATAGGTTTAGATAGGTTCAGAACCGCCTCCTCTTCAGTGATAGGTTGAGAGAGGTTCAGAACCGCCTCCTCTTCAGTGATAGGTTGAGATAGGTTCAGATCCGGCTCCTCTTCAGTGATAGGTTGGGAGAGGTTCAGAACCGCCCCTTTTCAGTGATAGGTTGAGATAGGTTCAGAACCGCCTCCTCTTCAGTGATAGGTTGTGATAAGTTCAGAACAGCCTCCACTTCAGTGATAGGTTGAAATAAGTTTAGAACCACCCCCTCTTCATTGATAGGTTGAGATAGGTACAGAACCGCCTTCTCTTCAGTGATAGGTTGAGATAGGTACAGAGCCGGCTCCTCTTCAGTGGTAGGTTGAGATAGGTTCAGAACCGCCTCATCTTCAGTGATAGGTTGAGATAGGTTCTGATCCGGCTCCTCTTCAGTGATAGGTTGGGAGAAGTTCAGAACCGCCCCTTTTCAGTGATAGGTTGAGATAGGTTCAGATCCGCCCCCTCTTCATTGTTAGGTTGAGATAGGTTCAGAACCGCTTCCTCTTCAGTGGTAGGTTGAGATAGGTTCAGAACCGCGTCCCTTTCAGTGGTAGGTTGAAAGAGGTTCAGAACCGCTTCCTCTTCAGTGGTAGGTTGAGATAGGTTCAGAACCGCGTCCCTTTCAGTGGTAGGTTGAAAGAGGTTCAGAACCGCTTCCTCTTCAGTGGTAGGTTGAGATAGGTTCAAAACCGCCTCCTCTTCAGTGATAGGTTAGAGAAGGTAAGAACCGCCTCCTCTTCAGTGATAGGCTGAGATAGGGTCAGAACCGCCTCTTCTTCAGTGATAGGTTGAGAGAGGTTCAGAACCGCTTCCTCTTCAGTGATAGGTTGAGATAGGTTCAGACCCGCCTCCTCTTCAGTGATAGGCTGAGAGAGGTTCAGAACCGCCTCCTCTTCAGTGGTAGGTTGAGATAGGTTCAAAACCGCCTCCTCTTCAGTGATAGGTTAGAGAAGGTAAGAACCGCCTCCTCTTCAGTGATAGGGTAGAGAAGTTAAGAACCGCCTCCTCTTCAGTGATAGGTCGAGATAGGTTCAGAACCGCCTCCTCTTCAGTGATAGGTTAGAGAAGTTAAGAACCGCCTCCTCTTCAGTGATAGGTTGAGATAGATTCAGAACCGCCTCCTCTTCAGTGATAGGTTGAGATAAGTTCAGAACAGCCTCCACTTCAGTGATAGGTTGAAATAAGTTTAGAACCACCCCCTCTTCATTGATAGGTTGAGATAGGTACAGAACCGCCTTCTCTTCAGTGATAGGTTGAGATAGGTTCAGAACCGCCTCCTCTTCAGTGATAGGTTGAGATAGGTTCAGAACCGCCCCTCTTCATTGATAGGTTGCCAGAGGGTCAGAACCGCCTCCTCTTCAGTGATAGGTCGAAACAGATGCACCGCCACCAGCGGGAGAGACGTCATTTGCACCAACCAAGTCCTCAACAGAGGAAATATCAGCATCACTTCATCGTTTGATAAAAAAGAATTTACCTTTCCATTACGCAGAAGAGGTTTTTACCGAAATGTGATTTTTATAACGATACCTGTCATGAGGAAGAGACTCAAACTCTAAAACTAGATTGGAACGTAAATCCACTGCCCTATAACAAGAATAAATCACACATTTTTTTCTTTAAACGCTAAATCTGATCTTTTCGGTTACCTTGAAACCTACAACATCCCTTGTCTTCGTAATGAACCAGGATTCGCCTGTTTAGGAATTACACGAAACCTTACTTTATTTTCCTTATCAACCTTTTCGGTAATTATTTGCCATGAGTTACATGGCTGGGTTACCATCTTCGTTCAGAACATTCCAAACCCTTTCTTTGATCATGTCTTCGGAATATCTGGACCATCTTCTGAACCATTTCTTGAACAGAACCAGCACAAAATCCAGTCTGGCATCAACATGAGTGAACAACAGACGTCCCCAAATACTTAAAGATGATTTTAAAGACATAAAAGTCATTCCACCTATACATTTTAGCAATAGATACAGCACGCCAAAATGAACAACGCTGTATCATATAGCCCGATTTCCCTCTGGCCCTGTAACAGACTTAGACACTTTGACAGATAGATGTCTTACATCTAAGTCTGGTGCCAGGGCCAGAGGAAACTCGTGCTATGTGGACTCATTGATGATGCTAGCCAAACGTTGGAATTCGAAATTTGTCTAAACTAATGTTGAAACAGAAGGGGAGGTGCATTAATTATAATTATATGTATTTCAAAATTTAAAGAGTACAGGTTTATTTCAAATACGAATAAATACAGTGTGTATATTACGAATTCTTCCATTACTCAAAAGAATTAACTGTGGCGATAAAAATCATGGCAAACCTGAGCATACATGTATCTACATATAGTTTTTAATGCGCAGCTCCTAAGCACCTCGATAATGCTTACTGAACCTATATATGAAACGGATATTCCAAAATATCAGCTGTTCATAGGAATCTCTCTCACTGAGATATATATTGTTTCCTAGTGTGATGTGATGGTTTTGATTAAGTTATGGTGTGCTGTTGTTTTGGCGTCTATATCCCGGTATTCTATTTAAGGATTTAGAATATCTGGATTTGACCTAGAACTACATGCCGATAAAGCCGAAGACGCTTACCCCTCCGGAACACCTGATCTAAATCTCATTGTACTTTTTTTCCACGGTCTTCATGTACATCTTTTAATTGTCCTTATTTTGCAAAATTTTCATTCATTTTGAGTTCGATTTACGTTTTTGTTGGCACTTCTTTTTTAATGAGGCTGCAAAATGATAGAATTTAAAGAGGAACGTGTAAAATGAGTGTATGAACAGAAAAGATTGACATTTTCCCTTTTTTCTCTGTGTATTGTCTCGTTGTTTCGACTCAAAGTTCCTTGTATTCCCTGGCAAGTTGACGCTGTGGGTAATAGTTGTGAGGAACAAAAATAAACAAGCTTTGCTAATGCAACGATCTCTGATTTTAATATAACCGACTAACAATACAAAAAGTGCACGTTTAAAAACAAACGTAACATGTATTTACAATTGAAATAGACAAAGGATGTTACTATGCTTTTATAATCGGACCGTTTGAGTATAAGCGGTCCACCAGAATAGCTCTTCCGTATGTATTCTGGCCCAATCCGTCATTTTACGACGAAAAACAAGTTACGATATAAACAAAAAGCAAACAAATCTTTGGGATAAAGCTTACAAGTTTAAGCGAAACAAAAATGGAAAGATAAAAACTCATTTAGGGAAAATTAACTCATGTAATGGCGAGAAAGACATTTTCACGTTAATTCGAGAAAAGAGACAATAACGAATTCAAAACTATCGCGAATACTAATTCCTACACAGGTGAATAAAGATAGCATTACACATATGTTCTGTCCAAGAGTTGAAATCGTTGAAAAAAAGCAATATCCGCATAACTCTTTAGAAGAAAAATCGCAAAATTAACTATTCCCGAAATTTTGATGATTTAAAGTCAGCCGTTTTTGAAAATCATCTTTCGAACTATAAGCTAACAACATTAAAACAAAAATTTGCGAAGACAGTTCAATTTTTCCAAGCAGTGAATGTCGTTCATATACCAGAATAAACATCACACACGTTAATTCAATACTGTGGGATTCCGTATTTGTGTCATAGTTTTAACATGGAATATATACATCATAAACATTTCATAAAAGACACCACATGCTCTCTTGGAAGGTGCTCCTAGACATCCGTACGTTTGTTTTATAATTTCCATATATGGCAATAATAGTGCACTTCCATAGTCAATGTAATTGGTGATAGCTTCAGCGGTTTGTTTCTATCATTGTTCATGGTAAATGATGAATTGATAGACCAAGAAAACAAACCTTTATCGAATTGAACACACAACCGAAATGTAAAACTGTGTTCATTTCACAGTCTATTTATAGACGTTTGTTATACTAGGTCATACAACCATCAAGTTGTCATGGTATTCATATACATATCACAAATGTAAAGAGCATTACTACATCCGGGTCACAACAGTCATCACTGATTCCCACGTGGCCCTTGTTTGAACTTCGATGGTAAGCAGTTATAAAGTAGAATCTGAAAAATAATTAGAAAAAAAAAATGAATTATTCTGAATGATAATTCACAAAAAATAACGAACAAATATGAAATATGAGTTTTACTCAAAACACTGCTCACGTCATTTATATTAGCACTGACTGGACTGTATATCATTCAAACTTCAACTCTAACTTAATTTTGTTTTGGATATTACCGTAGTAAGGCTAAACTGAGGTACTCCTACTTCCGTTTGCACGTGGCTTAGTTTGTCGAAGCGACAGTACTGTGATCGGAAGCCCAGGGTTGGAATTCCGGTCTGGCCACGTTGTACTTTTACTTTCAGAACATTGTTAATAGTTTTTGCTTATATTTATTCCCCTTTGTTTTTCCTGGAAGTTCTTCAAGTTATCCGCTTCTTTTCAGAAAATGGTATATAAAAGCTAAGACTGAGAAACACTATAGTCGAGTTATATCAATTAGCCACCTCTGTTTCCTTCTAAAAGTAGCTAGACTCTTTATTTGCTTGACTTCTTGAATGTTTTTGAATAGTAACAGGGAATTATTTTCACCTAAACATAGACCGGATCTGTAGTGGCTTGAGGTAAGAGGTAAGACTACAGTTAGCCCCATGTACTAACCACCTATTGATAAATAAGATATATTTCTTTGATATTTTTTGGGTGCATTTAAACATAATTGTATTTGTACTTATGTATTATGGTTGTAAGCAGTTAGCCGGCTAACCGGTTACTCTGTTGGAAGACCGCAAACCGGTTACCTAAATCAATAATCGAAGAATAGGACATCTATGTACACCTGGGTACACCCCGCATATACCTGGCTTTAACCTACCACATTTCTGTCGATGAGATCGAATAGGGATTTAATACAAACTCATAAACAACCTGTCTTTGAAAAGGCTATTGTATTGTTTTGATTGAACAAGAACCTTTACTAACGAAATAACAAACTCCCATGCGGTTTCTATACAAGAGCAAGTATGACTACATCAGATAATCTTTTAAGCGAGCAGAAAAATGGGCGTGAAACAAAATGGCGAAATCTTACGTCATCCATCTGTCCCTTGAAGTTTACATTAGCACCACACGCGCCACCAATCTTGAATCCTTGACGTTTTTGAATATTTCCTGGAATGATAAATAAGATAACATAACAACACCGAATCCTTTCGTAAGAGGATGTAATTTGTGCCTTGTACATCGGAAGAAGAGGAGATAATTAGTATCAATTAGACATGATACCTCTAATGAACAAATTTAGTTCCCGCACCGGTGGAAAAGGGACAGTCTTAATTCTCCTTCACAATGGTGCGGGAACTAAATTTGTTCATTAGAGGTATCATGTCTACTTTATTTTTCGCTTCACTGATGTAAGACTTTGCGTTCAGCTCCGTTTTACATAAAAGTGGGTGCGAGGCATATACATATCTCACTAAAATGCATCATAGCTTGTGCCAAGTATTAATAAGCCTCCTCATCCTTTTCGCAATGCACAATCCACAAAAAAAATCCATAAAAATTGATCATAAAACATTAACAAAAATTCGGTGTGGAAACAGGATCAATTAAAGAAAACGAACTTTTACACGGAAAAAACTGTCCTAATCAATGTCGAGCATGAGCTGTTCTTTTGAGACGCATGAGACCATTTAACTCAAGGAGCACGCTGTACGTACCTGTTAGAGGAGCGCTCCTTTCCTGAGCTCCTCGCCAGTTCTGGATCTTACTCATGAGATTCTTCCCATCATATGTCATGGTGACTTCATTCCATCCAGGAACCTATGACGTAAGTGTTTAATTTGTATTTTATTTGACCGTATGTAATAACAATATTTCGCTTACTGTTATAATATTAAATAACATTTGAATATTTTCCCCATTAGTATTTGATTTTATAACTTCATTTACCACAATGAATAGCTTCCACTATTTCACTTATAATACAAATCCAATAGCCCATGTGCAATATTTAATTCATTAACAAATTTGAGTTATTTATTCTTTTCCGAGTATTATTTTCAACTTTACTTTTATTTTATTATATAGCCTTAAGTATTGATTTCAATTCCACCACACATTCTACTACCTAATATAAAGATTGAATTGCATTCCACTAAGTATTATACAAGATTGAACTACATTCCACTATTTCTCTTACAATATTGAATTCCATTTCCGTCATCTTGTTGCTACCCTCAGTCATCATGCCGAGCTTGACAGTTCTCTCGTTGGCTGCAATGTTGACTGAAGCGCCTTGAGTCGATTGGCAGTTGGTAAGTAGAGTCTGATATTGGAATATATCGCCGTTGGGAGCCGCGCGTTTTTTTCTGAAGAGATCCGGGAATTCTAAAGCATCAAAATCAAATGCTGGAATTTGTAGATGATTTTGCCGATATGTCCAGTTATTTCCCCGATGTCTTTGTGACTGGTACCCTTCCTGCGAGGAACTTTGAGATGAAGACGAACCAGTCGATGTGTGACCTGCAGACGAACTTCCTCCTCCAGATGAACTTCCCCCTGATAACCCTCGTCCGTAACCTGTAAAAGCGTTTCATATGAAACATTTTGTTGATTAATATTATGTGAATGTAAAGTATGAGTTTGTTATTATGAAAGTTCATCAGAAAGATTGATGTCGACGAGACCATTCATTGCCCAAGAAGAACGTCGTTATCACCATAATTATATTCGAAATTCAGGTGAACGTGTTTCATGGTGCCTTTTATAAGAAATTATTATTTTTACCCTGTTAATTTTAAAATATATTTAATTGATTATATGAAAAAGGAATTACTCAATCACCGTTTTGAAAACATATAATCAATCCCTAAATGATATCTGATAAGCAGATTGCTACATTTCATATCCAGCTATTGCAGTCGCTGAAACATGTTGCTTTTCAACCTGAACATTATTTTCAAAGAAATGTATACCTAAACCTGATGCTCAATTAAAAGTATTAAACGAAAACACGGTATACTTCTTTTATCCATCTATTACGCTTCAGGTAAGTAATGAAATTTTGTTTTAAAAGAATATCATAAAATTATTTAATTTAAATGCAAAGCATGATATTAACAATAACGACTTAGATAACATTAATACACATTGAGCTCTGAAGCATAGCATTCTAGTACATGTTAGTGTATCTCCGTGTCGAGTTAGTATTATTTTTCTACTCTACTAAATCATATGGCATTCTATGAAGTTGATGCTTTAAATAAACCTTCAACCTTCTATGATTACATGAACGGTACTGATTAAAAACACATTCCTAATAATAGATAGTACTAATAACTTCACTCATAGTCTACAGTATAAGTCTGTATATGCTGTTAAATATGCGGTTGAACTTATCAAAGACTAAAATCTGTATTAACGTGGATTATGTGGTTTTACAACATATCATCTATCGTATATCGAAATGGCACTAGGAGTCTTTTTGGACAATATTGCGGAATACTTACGAAAATATCCACCATATGGAATCTAAAATTTGAAACATTTATTTACGCTGATGACTATTTGATGTAATCTGGATGAGAATGGTCTTTTATTTACCCATTTGAATTTCCCCACTCTCCTGGGAAGAGGAAGAGGAGGAACCACCTTGTGATCCGACAGCACCTCCCAAGTTGTTCAAAATTGAGTTGATGTCTCCCACCTCCACTTCTCCACTGCTTCCGGCACCACCAAATCCAAAAGAACCACCCGATGAACCACCTGAGACACCACCACCAAGTCCGGTGCCACCCTGGTCAAAACCCCAGAATCCTGGTAACCCCAAAACACATTAGCAATGATCGTTCACTTACTGTTTATTGTTGTTGTTTTATTTTACATAATTTTTTCAACATTTTCTATTGGCTATTTAGTTGTTTAGATATTTGAAAAGTTGTCTGAGGAACTTCATAGCTTAATTGAAATCACACCTGATACTTGTAACTAGGTATCACTGATACTAAACTGAAATAAAAAGTATGGTTTTAACAATTAAGATGGCAAAATAAATACAATTTAAAAATAAGATGATGCTAGAAACAATGACATTTTTGACATGCACAACACCTCCTGATAAGAGTACAAACGAATCTCAATTTAAGTTTTAAGATTTGATGTAAATGTGATTATAAAATAATTTCGAATCAAGAAAAAGAACTACAAATAATTGACCAAGTTGTCAACAGAAAAGTGATTATTTTCCTTACGAGATGGATATACAGAGATTTGTTTGCATTATCTTCAAACCGCTGCCACCGAAACACAAAAAAAATCACTCTTCGTTTTTAGTATACAAAAATATAGGAATATATGTTAGTATTTGTAAAATTAGATAATATAATTTAAGGTTGATGTTTTTTTTGGGGTGGTTTTTTTTTTGCGCATTTTGACAGTTTATATAACGTTAAGATCAATTAATTGTCCAAACATGTGCACGCGGACAAAACATGATAATAACGTTAGTTCGTAAATAAAGTTTTGTCATTCAAAAAACTGAGTTTTTTCTCTAACTGTTTTGCTTATTCTAAATGTTTTATTTAAGTAAAAAGTAAAACAGTTATATTATATTATCACATTTCAAACACATCACAAAGTCACAAAGTTAATACAAAACAACTAGCACCAACCTAAGTGCATTTTCGAACATAGTCAACGCACAGTAAGCACTTCCATTTGATCGTATGCGTACGCGCGCGCGCAACTCTACCGCTGCAGATTGAAGCGCTCACCCCAGCAAATGATAAAAGCTTAATTCGTTTACCATTTGAACTACTAAATACTGATGACGACAGATGTCCAATATATTCGCCGGATGAACGAGTATGAAGCCAGTATTACAGATACACCAAAGCAGACAGAACCAGACAAGCTATAGGTTACCTGGAGGAACAACTGCAGATGACCCCAGCTTTGTCTGTTTCAAGAATTGACCCAACGTTTCTCCTCCAGAAGTCGAATGTTGTCTGTTCTGTACGATACCAGTCCCTCCGAACGTTTTCTTGTATTCATCGTAAAGGGCGGATATGTATGTATTTGACATTCCGTTTACATTTAAATAATCACCAACATTTCCCGGTCCTTGACTACCAATTCCACTCAGTTCTAGACCTCTAATGCCCTCATGTCCTTGACCTGCGATGCCGCCCTGTGTTTGTCGCACAATGCCACCTTGTCCTTGACCTGCGATGCCGCTCTGTGCTTTCCCCACAATGCCAGCTTGTCCTTGACCTGCGATGCCGCCCTGTACTTGTCGCACAATGCCAGCTTGTCCTTGGCCTGCGATGCCGCCCTGTACTTGCCCCACAATGTCACCTTGTCCTTGACCTGCGATGCTACCATATCCTTCATCTGTTATACTGCCATGTTCCTGACCTGTTATACCGCCGCGTCCTTGACCTCCAACACCACCATTGCCTTGTTTTCTAATAACACTTTGTTTTTGACCCAATTCTCCGCCAACCCCATTCGTCCATTTCCCCCCTTGTCTATTTACACCAGCACCGTTAACTCTTGTACCCCCTTGTCCACTCATAATATTATTCTTCAGAGTATTCAATTGTCCAACCATATCATCAGTCACCAAACTTCCCCTTTGTCCATTTATGCCGGCACCATTTGCCAACGTACCTCCTTGCATACTCAATACACCACCGTCTTCCCAGTTAACAGATTGTCCATTGTTAAAATGAACCTTTTGTCCACTCTGGCGGTTTGTCAACTGGCCATTTATCATTTGTTCACTGTCTCTCGCTCCACCGGTTATACCTCTTCCAGAACCAAATTGTGTACGAACCCCACCGTTTACACCCCATCTGGCGTTATTTTGTCCGGTCCTTATACCGAGAGAATCACTGCCAACGCCACCTAGCCCAGCACTATGTAAGTTCTGTTGCAAACCTCCATGAATAAGATCGTATAAATCAGTCCCGTTTTTAATTGCACTACTACTGCTAAAACTTCCTGAAACACCTACTCCAGCAGGTGTTTGAACATTTTCAAACGCTTTATTACTACCACTGGTCCCAAGCGCTACCGACATGCTTCCCCCACTCCCACCGCTGCTTAACGCGCTAACATGATCGCTATTTGCACTGAATGCGGTAATACTGTTCGTACCTTGGTTTCCACTTTTGTCGTTGACGCCAAATACTTGCAGTTTAGGGTTCCAACTGCCACCATTACCTTGACTACCATCCAAGTTAATTCCATTATTACCATATCCTCCCTGCTGTCCAATTTGCCAAGCACCATTTTCGGCCACACTTCCAGCACCGCCTTTTCCGAAGCCATTTTGTTCAGAGCCACCTACGGCCCAACCTCCAGCACCACCTTGTCCGAAGCCATTTTGTTCAGAGCCACCTACGGCCAAACCTCTAGCACCGCTTTGTCCGAAGCCATTTTGTTCAGACCCACCTACGGCCCAACCTCCAGCACCGCCTTGTCCGAAGCCATTTTGTTCAGAGCCACCTAGGGCCCAACCTCCAGCACCACCTTGTCCGAAGCCATTTTGTTCAGAGCCACCTACGGCCAAACTTCCAGCACCGCCTTGTCCAAAGCCAGTTTGCCAAGCACCACTTCCGGCCATACTTCCAGCACTGCCTTGTCCAAAGCCAGTTTGCCAAGCAGCGCCTTTTGCAAATCTTCCAGCACTGCCTTGTCCAAATCCATTCTGTACAGCACCACCTTCGGTGAAACTGCCTTGTCCGTTTGCACCATTGAAATGCAATCCTTGCCCATTCTGACCGACTCCCCATTGTGAACCGGCTCCGCCAAGACCCTTGCCACCCGACGAACCGAACCAAACCCTACCTCCCCCAATGTCTCCACCCACAGTACCCCACTGTCCGTTGGAAACGCTATTTGTATTCCATTGACCTCTGGATTGTCCATTAGACCCAGCGCCGCCAAACATCCCACCGTTCTCTTGTCCAAGTTCACCCATACCACCTGTTCTAACCTGTTCACCACCACCAATTGTGCCACCGTTCGTACCTCCTTGTGAGCCACTCTGTCCTTCAATTCCCCATCCGCCTTGTCCGCCAGCCCAAGCTCCGCCTTGCCCGCCAGCCCCAGCTCCGCCTTGTCCGCCAGCCCAAGCTCCGCCTTGCCCGCCAGTCCCAGCTCCGCCTTGTCCGCCAGCCCCAGCTCCGCCTTGTCCGCCAGTCCCAGCTCCGCCTTGTCCGCCAGCCCAAGCCCCGCCTTGCCCGCCAGTTCCAACTCCACCGTGTCCGCCAACCCAAGCTCCGCCCTGTCCGCCAGCCCCAGCTCCGCCCTGTCCGCCAAGCCCTTGTCCGCCTTGCCCGCCGATCATAATGCCGCCTTGTCCACCAGCCCCAACTCCGCCTTGTCCGCCAAACCAAAAACCGCCTTCCCCTTGTGTAGACATACCTGTTCCACCGTTTTCGTTTCCGATTGAACCGCTATTGTACCCTCCTTGACCTTGTCCGTTACCCCAAACATCATCGCCAATTTGAGAACCGCCTTGCCATTGTCCGCCAGAACCTCCGTATCCGGTTTCGCCAACATTAAACCCGCCTTGCGAACCGCTCTGACCTTGTCCGCCAAAATCTGCGCCCCAGTTTGACCCACCGTTATAACCACCTTGCGAGTCGCCTTGTCCTTGCCCGCCTATTCCGCCCCATGATCCTGCGCTACCTTCACCCCAGGTGTTCATATTAGTACCTCCTTGTGAGTCACCATATCCATTTCCGCCTGCGCTTCCGCCATTGGTAAAACCATTTTGGCCGTTTCCGCTGTTCCAAAAGTCGTTAGTTCCATGGATGCCAACATTTACACCAGTTTGAGAACCAGTGCCACTACCCCACAACCAACCACCGTTTCCTGCCCCTGATCCACCATTACCTTGTCCGTTTCCGCCCCAAAACCAGCCTTGACCTTGACCATTGTTTTGACCTTGACCTCCATTAACTGATCCCCCTGAAATTGAAAAGTCGTTTCCAAAAGAGCCGCTTCCTAATAACCAGTGGAAGAAACTATCGAAGGTGAAGCCTCCCTGGCCTCCTTGGCCACCTCCGTGGCCACCTCCTTGGCCACCTCCTTGTCCACCTCCATGGCCACCTCCTTGGCCACCTCCGTGGCCACCTCCTTGACCTCCTCCATTACCCCATCCTTGACCCCATCCTTGACCCCATCCTTGTCCAGTCCCTGTTCCACCTTGACTTCCGTATGTTGCCATCAGCCAGTTGAGCCAGGCGTTCCACTGACCCTGACCCATACCACCACTACCACCAATTCCACCACTAGCTCCACCGGTTCCTCCTATTCCTCCACCAATCTGCCATTCGGTGTTGATCCAGTCGATGCTATAATTTCTTTTGTTCAAGTGATCTAGCCATATATTCTTAATAGTGGCATTCTTTGTAGCAAAAAGGATATCAAAAATCCAACGTTTATCCATAGACCCTTTCTGTCGGTCGTTGCCCAATGCCCATGTTAGTTTGCCATCCCATTCTGGACCCGTCATTCCGTTTTCTCTGACAAATTGATACCACAAATCGGCTATTATATCAAAAGTCCTGTCATCCATGCCGCTGTTCCATCCTCCGCTAATGTCCCAACCGGAATCGGTAAGGTTCAGAGACGACAAAAACTGCCTCCAGTTCTGCATAGTAATGTCGACATGGATGCCACTATGTTTCCTCACCCAATCATCTACTTCCCTCATCATCAGTAACTGCAGGAGTAAACGACGGGTTTTCACCCCTCCTTGCATGTTGCCGATTTGTCTAATTATCTGCCGAATGAACACGGCACCATTACCAGACATTAACTGCCGTAAGATCTGAATAGCATTTGTTGACTGCGGCATAAATCCGAGATGATACAGTAGAATCTGGAAATCAGGCGATGTAGCCATCTCAACCATAATGGTTTCCATTTCGTTTTCTGAGGTAGCTGCAAACATTCTTTTAAACATGTTCATCAACGTTACAACTTTCCAGCTTCCACCAACAGTTGAGTTCCTATTCCATCCCGTCTGGCTGTCCCACTTCCACAGGAAGTCACCTTTCCATCCTGCATCCACAGGATATCCACCCATATCAAACCGATTCTCCCATCGGTCGAATTTGAACTTGAACTTTAGGGCAAATTTATCAGTATAGTCGATATTTCCTAAGTTCCAGAGATTGAGATAGGAATTCCCATTGAAGTGGGCGGTGCCGTACTTTGTCTTGCGGACAGCGAAGTTGTTGATCTGTGTGCTTTTGCCAGATTTATCCTTCATGTTTACATCGAAATTTAAATGCACAGATTCCATACATTTGTCTGCAAAACAGGAAAAGGAGGACAAGATTTGTTATTTGCAATTAACAGATTCTTTTTACATATACAACTCTTTGATTTTAAAAATCTGTGTTTTATTGAGAAAATAAAATATTTTGAATTTCTAGAATTTGTCCTTGTTAGGAGGGTGAATATATTTTTAATATCGGCCTTCAGAGAAGTTATCTTTCCTACATTACGTTTAAATTGTATCGTACTTATTTGGATAGTAATACTGATAATTTCAAACCGTCAATTGAAGGGAAATATATAACAAATATAATGTCAGATGCGATATTGTCGCGTTTCATTGAATGAACATTGATTAAGATCATATGATAGTTTGTTATATTCTTAAATAAAGCTTCGTGCAGATTTTCAAGAATATTTCACTTTTTTAATTTTGAATAATGAAGAATAGTTTTAGCACTATTATTGCCTAAGATAACTGCTACATGTATAAACAGACAATACTGACACGTTAGACAGGGAAATATTTGCAGGTAAATATTGTTGTAGAAAGATGGAGGCTGATGTGTTATTTGATGTTCCAAAATATTTAGTAAAGACATTGATTTACCTGTAGGAGTTACAGGCACGTAGTTGGACGTAGCGATTACGCAGGTGCAGTAGCCTTTGTCAAATATGGTACCAGGAGCACACCTGCGCACCATCTTTCCTTTCCCAGGAACATTCTCCAAGTAAAAGCGGCCATCCCAATGGACCTCCTTGTCGCAGTTCGCTACAAAATATAAAGAAAATATCAAGTGATGCATTTTATAACCATAACAGAATTTCTTTATTTAAACGAAAGCAATTTATGTAACAAGTCAATATTGCTCTTCAAAAACATGTTTAACAAAGATTTCTTGTCACAACTTATTGTAAAATAAAACTAATATTTTTTCTCAGCAAAATTCATTCGTCATTGATTACTAAAACAAATGATATTGAAACGATACCTTTCGATCACAGTCCAATGTTGACTAGAAGTATGCAATATCCAATTTTGTTTGATACCCATACATATGTTAATAATACCCATATCTCATAAAGACCTGAATTCTTCCGGGGGGATGTTTTTTCATCTGCATATCAACAGGCGAATCACCACTAATTTTCTTTACGTTTATTAATATGGGATTCCTTACATGTTTGTACGATTTGAGTTTGGTCTATTGTCCATTTAGTTTGGTCAATACCAATGACATTTTATTGACCAGCCAGATTACTCACGTGATATAATGAGTCCACCATCTGGTGGGCAAGGCATTTTACAGGCCATGCCCCTCATGCAGCCCATGCCCTCTACGTAGTAGGTCCCCTCGGGGCAGCACGAGGCCACACTGTATCCCTTCACACAAACCCAGTGCGATCGACATCCATGATCTGCTATACCGAGCGTAAATCCGTCTGGGGCATTAATGCAAGGATCTGAAATACAAACATATATAATTATCTCACAAAAATGGGACATATAAAGACAATATACTCCAATTTATTAATGGTATGTCCATAGAAGGGAATAACTGGATCTTGTTCGGGTGGTTTCTGTGCCGTACTTCAACTGGTATTGCACTTTAAACGAGCTTGGACAAACGGACTAAAACAAACCGAAAACAAATCAGCTTCAAGAACACAGCATTTATAGATATACACAGTGGATAACTTAGTCAGATGTGCTGATCTACACGTTCTTGGCTATTTAATATTTGTATGCAATATTTTGAGTGTTATGAACATTTGAGTAATATACGCAATGCCATTACCCTGTACATTTAATTAGAGGAAATAATTCAAAGACGGGAATGGCATCAATACAGAGAGAATATAACTTAATACTTATAGAACAACAAATTCAGATCGTTTCAATTTGTTTAATACACAATTTTAACTACACCACCAACAACAACAATAAAATTTATTAAACAATAAATTATTTTCATAGAACTCATTTTGTCCTTGGGGTTTTTTCATGAACCATACTACTAGCAATGGTATCAACAGGAACAATTCTTGAAAAGTGGATGAATTACGATTATAAGTTACAATGTATGTTTTTGATTAAAATAACAATTATTTAAAACGAAGCTATGCCAAAGTCTTACCTTGTGGACACATAACATTCATGGAAGGTCGGCACGTGATGGCATCCTCGTCCCAGAACTGACCGTATGGACAGACCTTTACCGCTCCAATGATTCTTCCACCGTCCCTCCAGCATTGTACGTATCTGGTACAATCTCCAGGATAGGGGTTAAAACCGGAGTCACTGTTCATCAGACATCCAGCACACAGCTCTACAACGTCAACACATGTTGTTGCATCATATTGATAAATAAGATCTTAGATAGCACCTGTCTATCAAGACCACTATACCTGTATGTAGTATCACCTGTATATAATATCACTTGCATATAACTATCACATGTCTATAACTATCATCCGTCTATATATTTCCGACTGCGTTAGTTTTCTCCGTATTACTCTGTATTTCCCCAAACACCTCCATGTCATGTTGCTCTTATTTTGATCAGATTTAACCAGTGGTTAATGAAAAAATAAAGGTTGCCATTAAGAAACAAACGCTTTTAAAGCACAATGAATCCTAAAAATATGTCAATCTTGTTTGCCTTGTCTACTGTTTGATCCAACATTGATTAAATTAAATTGACAAATTTCATGATTGTTGCAAAATACAGAAAGTTGAATTTTTCATTTATCCCCTATTTATATCTATCTATCACCGGTCCTTATATCAAACTAACATGTTGATAGCAGCCAACTGGCTATTATCTGATAATAACAGGTATGACGAACTTTAACATTTTAATAGTAAGGTAATGGTACATTGCCATGCTTTTCATGAAATATATTTTCTCGGGTTTTCGAAACAATGTTTATTGCCGGAAATCAATTCTGAGGCCCAACATGGACACACTTAAGTCTCCGTTTGTCTGACTCAAGTTATCGCTCCTTACGTGTAAAATCTGGCGCTGGAGTAGAAACTGGAGGAGGAGGTGTTGTTGTTGTTGTTGTTGTTGTTGTTGTCACTGGTGTAGTTACAACTATGAAATAAAAAGAAATATGTCAACAATATAAGTTGAACACGAGCGATTACAAATACGAAACCAAACCTCTACCTCTAGATCTTTATTGAGAAATATGCATTCTAACAAAATTCACTATTTTAAGCAATGTTTACCGGTTTACTTTTTCTGGATTTTCTTGGTAGTGGATTTAGTGGTATATTATTGATTACAGATCAGTAAATACATTTTCAATAATATATAACTCCAAACTATGCTTTCCTGATCTTTACATTGATTTAATTTGTGTATTTCGCAGAACTTAGTGATGTAATCTTCTAAAGATATGAAAACATTTAATTTCTTCATTAAACTGTTTAACTACAACTAGCCTTTAATGAACTTATTATAAAAAAAAAAAAAAAAAATTGAAACAACAAAATGCTAAAACATAATAATTATCTTATATCCAACGCATGCATAACAAAGTGCTTACAACCACTATATAATTATTACGTTATTGAAGATATTGATAACACTTTACACAATTGCACTTAACCAGTCTCATCAATACAAGTAATAACTGGCATTTTCAAATTACCCCAAATGCCTATTCAAAAATGTAGGCGAATATTACATGAACCTTAGGAAAACGTTAACAAACTTTTACAAACAATATTCAGAATAATTATATGTTACTTGCTTTCACAGATCATATCTCGAATTCTAGGCATCATGCTTTCCAGGCGTTTGAAGTTCATTGCTCTGAACAGCTTTTGAGAGTCTGTAGCGATATTAGCAAGTTCGCCAATGTTGACCTTTGATCCTATGCCCAACGTAACGAACTGAACTCCCTCATTTTTGGCCAGCTCAGCCTGGAGTTTGGTATCGGCCGGAGTTGTAGATTTCTGGTCAGTGATTAGGACTCCTTAAATATGAAAATAAACAACAGAATACCGAAATGTCAATACTCAATAACTCCTGCTTAAAATCGATAAAAGTAGGGCTTAATATAAACAAATGAAAAAAAAATTACATGGAAGCCCTTAAAAAGTATTTCAAAAATGTAAAGAGAATAAGACCAGGTGTTCCGGAAGGTTAAGCAGACTGCAGTATTTTTTATCCAGATGAATGTCATTTTAGTCTAGGATGAATCACTCACTAATATCCACAATATGAGACGGTTGTACGATATTGGGGTCTATTGCCTATGGAATAGATAGCTATTATTGATATATCTATCCACAGGTCTATCTGTTTCCATTAATTTAACTATTGCTGTTCCTTATAATTAAAAGTATTTGTTTGGAGCCTTATATGCACTGACTGGTCAGTTACGGAGTGCACAAAGTGATGTTTTACAAGTTACACATGAAGAGTACGTGCAATAAAAACTTTGACAAGGTTTTTTATTCATTATTTTCATAATTATTAACAAATAGAAAAAAAATGTCCCGATATACTTGAAATAGATTTTGAGGGTTTTTTTCTTCTAAATTTGGTCCTGTATGATTGTATTGCTTAGAAGGACAGCTAAGACTTATGCAATAGCGACCACGTAGAAACGATCATCATCATACATTAACATCACACTCTTCATACAACGTTACACAAATTTGCACCCGCAAAAATGTCTAAAAGTCTCTTTATTTGACAAATGTTATTTTCGTCAGAGAATTATATTTCAATGTTAATAGTTATTCATAGAAATATACGAGATCAATAGTTCGGTTTTACAGCATAACATTTGTATTACAGATATCAAGCGTCGATGAAAGATTTTTTGGTGTTTGCCTTGGATATTAGTTAGTGAGTACATTAACCGCATCGGGTTGTGATATGAAGATATTGTATCAACATTTGTTTCTCCTATTAACTTTTACTTTCTTCAGTGACCTTATGATTTTGACGGATCGTTATGAACAAACCACCTCCAAGCACATCCCACTACGACCACGATTTTATATTGACTTCATCTATGCTAAGATTGTAAGAGTAAATTACTAAATGTGACTGAAATGGGTCTGATGTTTCAATCAGGCATTCAACTCACAGCCTCTGAATCTGAGAGCGCAACGTACCTATCTTTGGAGCACCACCTCTAGCATGCGTTCTAAAGGCCTCTCGAATCTTGGCTAAAGCTGAAATTTTAAAATACACAAACATTGATACACGTACATATACTAGGACATATGTGTATATTTAATACAAATCTAACAAAAAATATAACAATCTCGCTTTTTATACATGTATGCATACACACTTTTAATTTCCGATTTAAATTCTTATTCAGTTTTGACTATAACGATGTTTAGAAGCAATCCAGGTTTTAATGGAATTGCTTTAATTTCAGTTAAACAACTAGGATTAAGAGAAAATTGTGGCTAGCTTCGCATGAGAAGATTAAGTTGTGTATATTTTACTTAGGTTTAAATGTGCCAAACGAAAAAGATTGGTGTTCTGAAAAGGTTACGACCTTTCATGTCTAATGATGTTCTCAGTAAAGTTTATCAAAGTATAGTTTTCCCACATTTTATCTATTGTTCTGTAGTCTGTATTGTAAGGTCAACTAAATGCAATTGCGCCACATTTCCTAAGACTTTTTATGTTCACCAGTTATTTTACGTTTTGACCATAAACGGCGTCACCAATGAAACTACTAGTACAATCGCACTCATTTTTGATCCCCTAGCAATTTCCCCGTGTTCCATGTTTTATGGTTCCTTTTAATATCTCTGGTCTGTAAATTCACCCGTTTTATTCCACGTATACTTACCGGCGGCAGTGTTAGCACCGCCCCTCGGGTGTGAGAAACTGTTGATATGATTCTGTACGTCAAACACCTCTTTAAATGGCTGAAGTGACATGTGATCCCCCACGCTGCTGCTGTACACGACCATCCCGACGTGGTGGGCTCCCCTATTCACGTATAAGTTACGTACCAGGCTACTCACGAACTTCTTGTTCATACCCCAGTTGTCGTCCTTGATGTCATCTGAACCGTGCATCATGAACATAATTTCGGCCGGTACCTCACATCCAGGATCTAGAAAGGACACGGTTACGATATCGTTATAATGGGTTTCATGGCCACCTCGCTCATTTAGATGAATTCATACATATCTATGGATTTCCGCACCTTTGACCTTGAACACTACTAGTGAGTCTGTAGAGTACAGCAGTCTTCACTTTACCTTGGCTGTTGCAAGGACCCTTATCAACATTTATGACAAAATGGCCATACGATGCAGCGAATTGTTCATTTGTTTGCCTCTTCCATTGACAAAATAAAGTTTACACTCGAACAGCTTTTTCGTTGCGGTTTTTTTCAATATTTACTTTATGTGAACAGGAGAAGTACTTGAATGTGTAAAGGAATAGTATAGGAAAAAGACTCGATTACTGGAAGAGATCACGATATCCTTTCATTATTAGTACAAATTCAATTAGTTGGTATCTTTGACAATTCTCTTGGAAATTATATATATTTATAATAATATGTAATATATTGTTTTTGTTTATAAAGCATATATTCATGAGTATACACGTTTGTGTAGCAATAATTTCAGATGGCATGAAAAAATATGAGAACCTTAAAATTGTGACTACGTTGAACGTTTCACGCCCCGGATACAAAGATTCAAGTCATAAAAAGACTTTGTTAGCATATCTCCGTAAAGAACACGGCTATGATGCTAACTGTAGTGTTATTGACGTATACCGATGCAGGGGCGTGGTTAGCTTACAAAAATGTTCAAGATTTCAACATTCCAAAAACTTTGTTTTGAGTTTACTGCCAACATTTTTGTAGGTGTCATTACAACCAATTTGAACTATTTACAACGGATTTGAGACATTTTCGTTTCGTTAATGGTTGAACAAATGTCTTAGACTCCAAAAAAAAGTTGGATAGATTGAGAAACCTAAAAACCATGTTTATAGACCTTATGAATACATGTTATTGTTACTGCTGTTTTTCAAGGTAGCATAACATTTCAATAGCGCATCAGAGGTATACACATGGGTGTGGTTAGTATGCCTGTGGCCACATGGTATGTTTCACGTCTATACTTACTTAGGGTGCTGTGACACGAAGAGTAGAGCATACTGATCATCACATTGTATATGTCTACATTTTACGTGTACATTACATAGTTGTATGCTGAATGGTTGATACATGGGCGTGGTTTGTTCATTTACTAAGATGAACATCTAAATATCACGTGATACAGTACTCACATGGCTGCAGGGTGACTGGTGGTGGTATGGGCGTGGTCACAAGCTGGGTGGTAGAAGTCGTTGTGATGACTGGAAAAGGTAAACATAATAAACGTTGAAATTATATCCTTTAGTATACAGATAATGACAATATATTTACATAAAAGGCATGGTAGTCGAATTGATTTTTTTCTTCACGAGTTAGGGATACTATTTTAACTATTACAGGGTTTTTTCAATCAAGGACAGACAAAATTAAACTGTATTCCACTGTTTGCTCAAAGCTCACATGTGTTTGACCAAATAAAATATTTAGGCGTTGTTTAATGTGTTCACAAGGAAAACAAGTCATATTGCTACAAAGCAAATGCCTTTGCCATACTTCAACTTAAAATATGTATTTTTCGTATCGATGTAAGAAAGGACCATATGTATTTTATTTTATTTCTATAAAGTAAAATTTTGACATCAACACGTTTTGCTTTTATAACTTAACCTACACGCCAAACCGTTGTTTTCGTATATATTTTAAAGTTCTTGACAATTGCAAAAGGATATCTCTGGATGAAACGATTTAGATGACATAAAATCGATCCTTACATAATAAGATTGTTGCATTTGCAATTGTAAAATGGTAGGAGACGAGCAGTGTTGGACTCCTAGAGAGTCAGGGGTTTAGCATTTGCCCTGTGCTTAGATGACATGACTCAAGAGAATCATGGTGTAAGCCTTTGCTCTGTGCCAAGATGACATGAAAGAGGTCAAAGAAAATATCTGCTGTTCCAGCTTCGACAATTGTGCTGTATTTCTATTTCCGTTTTACTTTTTTGGTTTTTAACTTTTATGCTTACTTTTTTCTTCTTTTCCTTATTAAAAACGCTCTAACTCTCTACTACTGTTCGACCCTATACGACCTAATTGTAATGATGAACCATTGAGATTTTCTTCTCAAATATAGTAACTGATATTATAAATCATATCAACAATCGTATATTATGGGGTGAGCTCTACAAGGGTTAAGATTGAAGGTCACGCAATTTTGAAGATAGAAGTAGTTGTTTTCATCCTTTAAAACGATAAGGAAGAGCGGGATTACTTTAATATAGTGTAAAACTTGATATTTTTGAGGGTGTAGCCTCAGGAAAATAGCACTTAATTAAATATAAACCGATACATTTTCAATGGAGTGATTTATTCACCGCTTCTAATCTGTCAAAAATAGTACAAATGATACGTACGAAATACTTGGGAAAACTGTTTTTAACACTTGAATTTAAGAGATCCAAATGTAATTAATCTGATGAATTTTGTAATGTGCTGCTAAGTATTGTGAGAAAGTACCGACGGACACAGCGCATAAAGTGTGGGCAATAGTCCAGGTCCGCCCTGCGCTTGACAAATGACCATGACATCAAGACGACGAGCATGCTTCATCTCTGTCATACTGCTCTTGAGTTCATAGGCAATTCCAATGATTGAAGTTTATTTTCTGCCATGAGGTGGCATTGCTCTAAAAATAGATTGCCTTTCGGCACTCTTCGGATACGACCTGAACACTCTTGGGGCTGTACATGTACCGGATATGCTTCGCACGAAACAATATTTACAATATACAGAACTGCGAGCTGGATGACAAGTGTAAACCAATTACTAATGACTGTCGAATCGTTTGACAAAACTGCCTGACTCGTTTACATTCGTTTCCCTCTAGTACTTCATATTTGACCACTGTGTACGTTAAATACGTCTATAGGGCGTTGACAGAATATACATAGCCAAAGACTGAGGATTATGTAATCAGTTATCAAAATGTATGGGGTATCCAACATCCCTTTATTTATTTATTTAACTATATTTATTTAATTTTTTACATGAAAGGTTGACTGATTTTTTCAAAAATTATGTTCAGGAATGCAAGACTAAATATTCCTCAGTAAGAATTTGAATTGTTAATTTATAATTAATTTATAAATCAATGTGTATGGATAACCTCGTCTGTGTACTTGCTGTAACATACAATATTCACAGTATTCTTGTCGCAGTTTGTTTGTTTGTGTTTTACGTCCTAATAACAGCTACGGTCATTTAAGGACGTGCCAGGTTTTGGTGGTGAAGGAAAGCCGGAGTTTCCGGAAAAAAACCGCCGACCTACGGCCAGTACCTGGCGACTGCCCCACGTAGGTCTCGAACCCGTGACCCAGTGGTGGAGGGCTAGATATAGTAGAATGTCAGACGCCTTAACCACGTTGCCATCGTGCATCGTTGCAGCCAAAAGCTGTCCATTTGTAACATCATAAACGTTTTTTTCTGATACCTTTGCTGTTTTCTTCCTATACTTTGGAACTCTTTAGACATACAGTTTTGTTCATTTGACCTTCAGTGCCTCGGATGAGTACACAATGGTCTAATCGCGCAGTAAAAAATGTTTACTTGATTCGGCTCTCTGTATCATCTTACCTAATCCTCATTAAGTGATCGCCTCATTCGTATTTCTAGCGATTGCGTAGTGGTTGAATAATGGACATGATTCATAGAAATCTGTATTTAGTTTTATGTTTAGGACACATCACCAAAAACTGCCTTATTCTTCTTTTGGTTGTTAGGATATGTACTAGGCAGCAATCACGGACATTTCCAGTGTTATGGTCTCTTACGTCTCTGTTAAAGTTTGAGCAATGAAAATAACTAGAATATATAGGGTCCTATTGCTCATCATATAAAGTGGGCGTTTTATGCTATTTCAGTGAAGGGTTGTATGAATTGTATTACACCCAGTGTTATACCATGCAGCTTTGTATACATATAGGGTTTTTTCTTTTCCAGACTAGCTATGCAATAACTGAACACGACGAAATGGAAGTCTATTTTTACGAAGAGGCATATCTATTTGCGTGTAAATATTTCCTTTGTTTATAGATTGCCCTAGATTCATTGCTTTTTAGTTCGAATCACTGTTTTGACAATTAACTATTCTCTTCTTTTTGTTATCATAGTTTGTCTATCGGCTTGTAAACAAACACAAAAAAAAACAGTCATTATGGTAATATACTTTTGCAGACTTGTAGCGTCGTCATATCCAAACCTAAGATTTGTTAACGTAAGACCTGCACTTTCACTCCTTTTTTAAACATGAATGGTTTCAACAGAAAAATTCAAAGCAGCCAATCGAATATCCCGTGTTTCCCGAACTCTGATTTATCCCCGACCACTCTAAAACCTTCGTATTAAACCTATTTATTCGTCGAACAGTTAGTTACACCTATGTATCACACCTGTACTGCATGAATTTACATTCTTTGATGCAAAGACGGCAGTCTACGCTCATTGTGTTTAATTAGGGGATTAACGGCAGTATCATGAAGTATCTGTACCGGTACTTTAGTATTTCCCGACGATGTTTTGACATTGATGTTGTAGCAGAATTGTTCATTCACTGGGTTTGTAAAAACAATAGTTCTGCATAGCAATATTTAGCGGAAATCGCATAGATCTATTAAGAAATTCAAACTTGAATACGTCGTGATTGCTAATTTAGTTATCAATCATTATTACAGTTACAGGGGTTCAAGATTATCATCATTTTGTCAATAATCGAAGGGTTCCTCTCGTTTGGATATTTTGTTAAATGGTGGCAGCTTTATTAAACTTCTTTTTTACTTCTATCATCTACTGTCCGCGATATTGCACTGTCTGTCTGCCGTCCCACCTAGTCAAATCATGACGATGTCGGACGAACCTCGGATTTGTCATTTGTATACGTTTATACTAGTATTATGTTATCTATGCTTCATGTTTTGTTAAATCCATAGCCTGTTAAAACATAGGGAATGACGTCAAGCCGATTTTTTTGCTTTCAATGTGGGAGAAATAAGATATTCAATTTATGGTTATCGAATATACTTTACAATCATATCTAAGTATTACTTAATTGGTTTAAGTCACAAACTCATTCCATTCCTCTGTATATAGTACGGGTATCTTGCTATTAGGAGAACTTTACCTTTTGATCAAACAAAGAGAAACAAAACAAACACTTACCTTGACAAATCAAGTTTCTCAGTGTCACTATGATCTGTTGCAGACCCTGGAAATCTGATACGGTAAATAGTTTTCGATCGTTGGTTGCGATTTGACTAAGTTCCTCTCGAAACAACTGAGATCCTACACCAACAGCGATCACAGTGATTCCTTCCTTCTTAGCCAGACTTGCTTGGGCAACCGTCCTCTTAGGAGACGAGGATTTACCATCAGTAACAATGATCATCACTTTTGGAGCGTTTGCACGACCTTGACTTGCAAGCATTTGACGCATGCGCTGTATGCCTAATGCGGTATTTGTGCCGACCTTTGGTTGCTTGAGGTTGTTTGACAAAATCATGAGCAGTTCTTTCGGCTTAAATGGTGTTAGGCCAACCGTCTCGCCAATGATTGTACTGAAGACGACAACACCGACGTGAATCGTATCCCGGCCGACAGCAAGGTTATTGATCAGACTAGCGATGAAATATTTTTGCTTCGTCCAGTCAGCGTCAGCAATACTGTCCGACCCGTCAAGAAGAATGCCAACATCAGCAGGTACATTACAAAACAAGTCTGTGAATCAAAATGACAAAAATGGAGATAGCAATAAAACAAAACTAGAACCTTCTTTCCTGAAGCTGAAGATGAATGTTCAACTCAATCTTAGATATGAAATAAACGATCATCTAAAAATATTTACATTCTGTATGCTTAGACCCATTGACAAAAATTACATTCATAAATGCATAACACAGGTGTTCATAGAATCTCAGCACGTGGAAACTGATAGTAACCTGATCACACTGCGTAGTAATACACTACAAAAACTACTCACTCGGAACGACCGACCTAGATGCTTAATTCTTACATCTTAAAATATTATTGAACTGTGCTTTGTGAAATATCCACGTATTTACGTGTCCTGTGCTACAAATAAACATTGAATATGGAACTACATTTTGTTGTGTTATTGTTGTTGACGGTTGCTAAGATCTCTCACGATAGTGTCACATTTCCCCGCGAAAAAACACTGTTCTCGCCACTGCGTTGCACCCGTGTATAAGCAGGAACAAACCCTGTTTATTTGTTTTATTCGTTGTTATATCGATCCACTGAAAGGATTCGTCAATGTAAATATAAGGAATGATATTTATTTTTTCAACATTTATGAGGTCATAACAACAATGGGTTTTTGGACATATTTTACATGAATCGCTAACGCGATTCATTCAATATGTCCATAAACCCATTGTTGTTATGACCTCATAAATGTTGAAAAAATAAAAATCATTCCTTAAATAACTATTAGATAAAGATAAACGATATATATATATGTAACTGTAACAGCACAATGTATGAGAGTTCATCTTTTGTGGTATTTTTGTTCTATTTCTAAGAGACGTGCACGCTTGCATAAAACATTTTCTGAAGACAGCTTTAAGGTTCCTTAATCAACAATCAAATATACTCTTACCATCAGGTGGAGGAATGTATGTCGGTTTCTGTGTTGTCGTGGTCGTAGAGGTGGTGGTGGTGATGGCTGGAAACATAAAGACAGAAACACATTATACGTTTTGTGACAACACATCCATATTTTTCCCTAACAACATTTTCAATACTCCTCCATTAGGAAGCATCGGAAACAAGCATAAACTTATTTCAGATCATCACATTACTGTTCCAATTACATATAGACATACATAGATATATTCCTGTCTACTGAGGAATGATATAGAAAGCAGTAAAGGATATCACCATTAAACAGTAATCTGACAGAGACTTAGTTATGTTACAAGACTGACGTGGATAGGAATGGAACAGCTTTCTTTAATACTTTATATTAACATGTATTCAACATAAGTTAAGTTTAATATTTCATATTAACATGTATTAGACATAAGTTACTTTTGATACTTTATATTATCATGTATTAGACATAAGTTAAGTTTAATACTTTATATCAACATGTATCTGATATAAGTTAAGTTAAACACTTTATATAAACATGCATTAGACATAAGTTAAGTTTAATACTATATAACAACATGTATCTGATATAAGTTAAGTTTAATACTATATAACAACATGTATCTGATAGAAGTTAAATTTAACACTTTATATAAACATGCATTAGACATAAGTTAAGTTTACTACTATATAGTAGCATGTATTAGACATAAGTTAAGTTTAATACTATATAACAACATTTATCTGATATAATTTAAGTTTAATACTATATAGTAACATGTATTAGACATAAGTTAAGTTTAATACTATATATCAACATGTATTAAACATAAGTTAATTTTGATACTTTATATTATCATGTATAAGACATAAGTTAAGTTTAATACTTTATATCAACATGTATTAGACATAAGTTAAGTTTAATATTTTATATCAACATGTATCTGACATAAGTTAAGTTTAATACTATATATCAACATGTATTAAATATAAGTTAAGTTTAATTCTTTATAGTAACATGTATTAGACATAAGTTAAGTTTAATACTATATAACAACATGTATCTGACATAAGTTAAGTTTAATACTATATAACAACATGTATTAGATATAAGTTAAGTTTAATACTTTATAGTAACATGTATTAGACATAAGTTAAGTTTAATACTTTATAACAACATGTATTAGACATAAGTTAAATTTAATACTTTATATAAACATGTATTAGACATAAGTTAAGTTTGATACTTTATATTTACATGTATTAGACATAAACTAAGACAGCTGATTTGTGTTATTTCTCTGTTTTGTTTTTTCACCCGAAAAAAAATGAAATTTAGTCACTTTGAATTCTCATTGTTTTGTCTTTTCGAATTGAATTATCTTCTTTTCGCCCCGTAAAGGCAAAAGAAAGAAATGGCACAATCAGCCACCGTAATGAATAAACGATTCCATTTTACATACAACAAATTACACATAACGAAATATCAACTCTGCTTCCAACAAATATACATTTGACATCAACACAGTAAAACTAGCAATAATTAAATTTGACAATAGAAATTAAATTGAACTTACATGTGACTGGATTAACATTGACATTTTGAATTACATGCGAGTACAACATTGTCCTTGACTCATACAAGAATGAAAAAGGGTGCCTGAATAATCTTGATCCAGTAAAAGACGAACTGATCTTGATAATCCATAACTTCTTAAAACGCACATTACCCAAAATTATCTTACATCAAGTAAAAGAAACATTGACCTTGATAGGCTCTGACTGAGTAAAATACGTGTTGACCGATATTAAACTGGACCAAAATGACACACTGACCTGGACAAGCCCTAATCTAGTAAAATAAACATTGACCTATATCAGCCTGGACTAAAATGACACACTGACCTAGACAAGCCCTAATCTAGTAAAATAAACATTGACCTATATTAGCCTGACCAAAATGACACACTGACCTAAACAAGCCCTAATCTAGTAAAATAAACATTGACCTATATTTGACTGCATTTAATAAAAGGCACATTGAATTATGACAGCAAAATTAATTGTTATTTTATAGTTCTATATATACAAAGTTGGTCTTAAAACAATCATTGACAGTGACCTACTTTACATTGTCACGGTAATACCCATCTAGTGAATTGTCTGTACCATATCAAAGCGCTTTCTATCACTTTTTTTTACTTCCTTGCTTATTTTAGCACACCTACAATTTAGAAATTGTATACTATGAAGCATTGTGTGATAATATTGTTTGGACTAGATTTTCATTTACACAATGAACACACTTGGAGGTTAAAAGTCATGATTACGCTATATTATCATACACACAGATGTAAGATAAATCTTAACGAACGATGATTTGTACCAACAAAAGAACTAACTTAATGAATTTTCATGGCTAGAGTGAAAGGTTACTTTGTTTGCTATAATTCTAAAGCACATGCAGAAAAGCGTGTATGGTAGTTCATTGCAAATATGCCTTACCGAACCGTTGTTCGTCGCATTTCAAAGAGTTAAAACTGAAGCCAATAGGGAACTTAAGAATTACTTTAAAATCATTAAGTGGACAACTCCATTACGAGAGTGCCATCACAGAATTCATATTCCGTCTTTTCGTATTGCAGAGTTATCTGCTCTTGTGAGCAAGTATTGATTGTTACGTCATTTGTTTGTGAGAGTAACGTTATAATTTTTTGAGAAAGCAGCGTAATTTTCTCACACAAACTAATGACGATGACAATATAAAAAGATGAGTAGTGGCACGGTTAATAACATAAACACTTTTCTTATTATTGATCTTAAATTTATCAGTACACATAAACGTTTAAGCTATTCATACAATTAAGGGGTTTCGTGCACCTCCCCTTCTGCTTCAACAGTTGTAAGAATTAATTTGGACTTCCACTTTTTGTCCCCTAGCATTAACAATGAAGAAGCAGAAGCTGTATGGTATAGTGTAAACCATTCATATTTTGATAAACTGTATCAATTACTAAACTGTTAATGTGCAATCAGCTGTATGTGTGAGTGTTACGTTCGTTTATCAATGTAGTAACATTTGTAGTTATGCTATAGTGATACAAACCTTGACAAAGTAGATCTCTCATTGATGTTATGATGAGCTCCAGCGATCTGAAGTCGGACACCTCGAACACTTTCCTTCTGCTGCTGGCGATCTGATTGAGTTCGTCACTGAAGATCTGAGTACCGACACCCACAGATACCAAGGTGATGCCCTCGACCTTAGCCATATTTGCCTGGGCGACAGTCAGTTTGGGAGAACTTGATCTTCCATCGGTAATAACAACAATCATTTTGGGAGCCATTGCACGACCTTCCTTTCTGATCATATCACGTGCGCGTTCTATACCACGTGCTGTATTCGTTCCCACTTTTGGATGTCGTAAATTTCTAGCGAGGATTTTCAGCAGTTCTTTATTTTTTGGAGGTTGTAACCCCACTGTGTCACCTATAATAGTACTGTATACTATTAAACCTACATGAATTGCGTCTGTACTTATCTCGAAGTTATCGATTAGATTGGCAACGAACTGTTTCTGACGTATAAAATCAGCATCATCGATACTATCCGATCCGTCCATCACAAACACAATATCTCCCGGTACGTCACAAATTTTATCTGTAAAATAATAAAGAGTTAATAAGCACTGTGAACGCTTGCATATTTATCTACTGTTAAGCAATAAGTAATCAAGTTCGAAAAATAAAACTTGACGCTTTATTTCTATTTATGTTGGTAAACGTTAAGTCCTTGTATACTGACAGCTTAGTTTATAGAATTTTCACTTTAAGTGATTTTCTTATGCAAATTGAAATAGCTTTGTCAACATTTGAAACGTGAATGCTTGTTTTACGGAAATGTATTTCAAAATGTGGGCGCCCTTGCCATTATGACATACGTACCTGATGGTACAGGGATAACAACAGGAGGCTTCGTTGGGATAGGAATAGCTGTAGTCGTGGTTGTAGTTGTCGTAATCACTGTAAAAAAATGGAGGTTCTTTTAGTATGTGTAGCGTAAGTAAGCCTTTTTTTACAGAGGTTCCTTATCTATATTAGTCGTGAAAGTGTCCCATAGGAAAGCGTTAGCCAAAGATAAGTAAGGCATTATGTATTTACCTTTAAAACTGTAAATGTTTACAGATAAAATACTTTATACTGTTAAACCCTTCGATTTTCTTATATTGTGTAGCATCTCCTTGTTTCTTATAAACCATTTATGTTTTCTGCCAATCTGTTTTCACGCCGACTGTCAAATTTGTATGTTTAATATAAATGAACAATCAGGTAAGTTTGCTTGTTTTTCTTGTCCAAACAATCTTATAAATTATTGTATTAAATATAGAAGACTGTTGACGTAATTACATGTTCATTTTGTATTGTTGTCTTATTCATGAAGGAAACAAAAACAAATCAGTTTTTTATGAATTAATCGAAGGAAAATAATTGTCATGTCTCCCCTGTGTATGTGCAATTCGTAATTTTTAATTCTGAAAAAAGGAGAAATATCAAAAATATGAATATTTCATTAAACAATGCTCATACCAATGCACTGTAAGTTTTCTTATATCCTTTGCCATTTAATTGATGTTGTCTTATTCCTTTGCCATTTAATTGATGTTGTCTTATTCCTTTGCCATTTAATTGATGTTGTCTTATTCCAGTGCCATTTAATTGATGTTGTCTTATTCCTGTGCCATTTAATTGATGTTGTCTTATTCCTTTGCCATTTAATTGATGTTGTCTTATTGCTGTGCCATTTAATTGATGTTGTCTTATTCCTGTGCCATTTAATTGATGTTGTCTTATTCCTTTGCCATTTAATTGATGTTGTCTTATCCCTTTGCCATTAAATTGATGTTGTCTTATTTTTTTGCCATTTAATTGCTGTTGTCTTATTCCTTTGCCATTTTATTGATGTTGTCTTATTCCTGTGCCATTAAATTGATGTTGTCTTATTCCTTTGCCATTTAATTTATGTTGTCTTATTCCTTTGCCATTTAATTGATGTTGTCTTATCCCTTTGCCATTAAGTTGATGTTGTCTTATTCCTTTGCCATTAAATTGATGTTGTCTTATTCCTTTGCCATTTAATTGATGTTGTCTTATTTCTTTGCCATTTAATTGAAGTTGTCTTATCCCTTTGCCATTTAATTGATGTTGTCTTATCCCTTTGCCATTAAATTGATGTTGTCTTATTCCTTTGCCATTTAATTGATGTTGTCTTATTCCTTTGCCATTTAATTGATGTTGTCTTATTCCTGTGGTATTTTATTGATGTTGTCTTATTCCTTTGCCATTTAATTGATGTTGTCTTATTCATCTGCCATTTAATTGATGTTGTCTTATTCCTGTGCCATTTAATTGATGTTGTCTTATCCCTTTGCCATTTAATTGATACACTATTATTTAGTTTCGTCGTAATGAGGAGATGTAACATTATATTGACATTAGCATGCATTAACACTGTAATCCTACTAAATTAATCTGGCAGACATAAAATATGCACTCCACAGGACTGGATTCCATCTGATGGAATTTCTGTCTGCAGTTGCCATATCAGTCACAGAGTTTTGACTTTCAACATTGACACGCACATATTATTATACTGTTACACTGTACTAGCTAATAAAAAGTCACTGAATATCAGAATTATGTTATTTTCACGAAATGCTCTTTTTCTTAATACAGACATGCTTTGCGTTTTGTATCATTTAAACATTCCCAAGCGTATTCGAGCGAGGACATTTCTTGAAAACACTCTTTAAACAAAAAAGCGAGTATGGAAAACGATAAAAGGTCAATAAAAGCACTAAAGCTCTTACCGTTCGCCTTACTGAGGAAAATGAATTTCAATTTACTTACGGAAAAAAAAAATCTGAAGCTTGGTGCTTCCTGTGAAGGTCAACCGGATGTAGTTCAATGTTGAAAGAGTACCAACCTGTACCAGCGACTGGAAACTTACCTGTACAGACCATTCGTTGGATCTCGATTACCAACGTCTGGAGACTTACCTGTACAGACCATTCGTTGGATCTTGAACACCAACGTCTGGAGACTTACCTGTACAGACCATTCGTTGGATCTCGAACACCAACGTCTGGAGAGTAGCAAACGAGGCGGCGGTGTAAACCTTTTCCGGTCGAGACGCAATCTGTCGTAACTCGTCTCTGAATGTTTGACCGATTCCAACTGCTATCACTCGAATACCCTCTATCTTTGCTATATTCGCTTGCTTTCGAGTTTCTCGGGGGTTATCCGAACTTCCATCTGTGATGACGATGAGAATTTTCGGCACCCCTGCTCTTCCGCGCGTTTTAAACTCATTGCGAACATACGCTATACCTTTTGCGGTATTTGTACTCGCTTTGGGTTGCCGCAAAATGCCAGACAAAGTTCTTAAAACGTTTTTCGGTTTGAAAGGTTGGAGACCAATATGGTCGCCAACGTCGGAACTGTAGACGACAAAGCCAACGTGAATAGCGTCCCTGCCGACGTCGAAGTTCGTCACTAGCTGACTCACGAAGTTCTTTATTTCTCTCCAGTTCTGGTCCTGAATGCTGTCAGATCCGTCTATCAGGATCATAATATCGGCAGGCACGTAACAGTTGAGTACTGAAACAATTCAATAATTATAATGTTATACTTTGCCGAAGTATAAAAAAAAAGTCGCAGACCGATTATTTTAGCCACAAAAAATAGTTTCTGATTTCTTATGCAATATTGACGGTAAATTAAAAACAAAAACAAAAAAAACCGTATATAATAGGAACTCTGATTTAGTTGTATCTTAACTTATATCTTCGGCGTTGATATAAACTAAAGTTGTAATCATACTCACTAAATAACTGTACACTGTAAATATACTGTAAATATATGATTGGACAGAAACGGTACATGTATCACAAAATGGTTAATTTCATGTAAATTTAGCATTTATTTACAGTTCAGGTTCTTTCACGATTGGTTTATCAAGTCAAAAGTTTGGAGAGATATATCTACAGATGACATTATTTACAGTTGGTGCTTGTAAACTCCCAAAGTGGATCATTATCTCCTTACCTATCTCTCATTTCTATTTATTTGCGCGGCAAAGCATGACGTCACAAATGAATGTTGACCTTACCTTGCTGGTAGGCATTGTGTGCCATAAGTGCCACAAGCACTAACGAAATCGGTAGCTTCATTTCTGCTTTTACACCTAGAAAATAAACACATTGAATATAAAGATAGCATTGAAAATCTATATTCTAATGATTCCGAAAAAGTTTCAGCAAAACAGCACTTTCCTTAGTAAGATTCACAGCAAAAGAATGGGAAAGACACTTGAAAAGAAGAGAGAGGAAATTAAAAAAAATAACAGAAAAAAGTCAGATTTTTGCGTTTTCACTTTTACTAAACGCTAACATGAATTTTGAAGTAAGATCGTTTAAAATTCAAACAAGCTTATAAGTTATCATATTTTGCTTGCGCAGAAATATTTATTCATTTTTGTGTCTATAAATGAGGATTATTGGATTAAAAATTACAATTTGACAGAATTATAAAGAAAGAAATCTGGGAAAATGCGGCAAGCACACCATGCTGATGACTGGAGGCTAACTAAGTGAAGAAGACAGCTGTCATAAACCTTTGTTATAACGTCCTGTTAGGGCTGACCTCTGACCTGTTAGGGTTAGAAAGGTCAGAGTAATATTGTTCATTGCCAAACTGGATGTAACGTAGTATTAATGATAGCGGTTTTATTACCACCATGAAACGGACATCAGGACTCGAATGTTCAAAGTCTTGTTAGCTTAACGTGTCGGTAATGCGAGTTTTCTAAATACGTTTCCATAAAGAAATGTCTGCGATAATGTTCGTTTTTTATATACGTGTATTTATTTCTTGTCTTCTTTTGGAAATGTTGTCTCCATAAACTTTTTTTTAATTGCAGTAATTCTTAAAAACTTCTGCTTTCCTCCTTTCACAAGATAAAATATTTGCGTTACTGATTCGGAAAACTAACTATGCTTCAGACAACTGGACCAGAGAGTAGCAGGTGTTATAATAATCCGTCGCCAGGACACAAAACATGAAATTCATTGTTTCCGGACGAAAAAAACAATCGTAAACAACAATAATAAACGAATAAACATTTCCTAAAGGATGTTGTTGATATTTATGTTTATCACATAATGTACTGTGTTATCCAGTGAATATTCCCATTTCATATTTCCATGTAATATGACCTATCAGCCCTGTGATTGGTTGTAAGTTTCACTTGTTTCAATTGTGACGTCACTACTAGGACAACTACATGACGTCACAGACTTACGCGCTGGAGTCAAAATGGCGGCTTTTACATTTCAAAGTTTTGTGAAAATTATCGTTTTATACGAATTAATGCCACAAATCTTGATTATGTGATAAAAAGGATCTTACACCCGTTTTCATTTCATATGAAATTAATGAAACTCGTCACGAATTTTTCATTTTAGCTCGCCAGAGGCTCGCTCAATTGATAAATTCTTAGACTCGTTTCATAAATCTCATGTGAAATGGAAACACATGTAAGATCCTATATTTCTTCTTTCCTATCGTGAAATATAAAACCGACTGTGGCGTTAAGGTTCTTCCAGGCTTGTTGGACTGGGTATTTCTTTAACGACATTTCCTTCATATAAATTTTATATCAAATTCAGCGTTCTTGAGACTATTAACTGTCCTTTTTCTATACCTTATTTTGACAATAAGTATCTAAAATTCACCGTAATAAATACTAACCTCGCCATGAATATATTGAAATGCTTTCATTCACGTGTTTTATAAATGTATGTACATGTACGTGTGTTATTGCCAAGGTTGAGGAACCCCATATTGTTGAATGTTATGTCTGTATTTAATACATGGATCGTGGTGACTTTATCAGACTAGGTCGCGTAATAGATCCTACAGTGTCTGGTGATAACGTGTATCAATGCGCATGTAACATAATTAAAATGTCACTGGTCAAAACGGATGTTCTGGGAGAATCTCGTATTTATATAGACACGGGCAGCCCGTCGTCACTGGTCAGTAGACGACATTTGACGGGTAATCGGTATTATTAACCGGTGCACTGACCACGGGCTTGATGACATAGCCGGTCAATGAAGTGACGGAGTAAACTCTAATTTCAAATCTGGACAATGCGCAGAAGCTGGTCAATAGACAAACGTATCATTATGAGATACTTAAAACCTTCGGTAAAACGAATACACCTTTTCGTGCCGTATTTAGTACTACTAATACCCAAAATAATTAACTGGACACTACTTTAAGGATCAACAAGCCCCCTAAATCATGTTAGGGTCACCCAAAAGTGTAAGCCCCCTGATAAGTCACATTTAAATACCACAATTAAACATTGGAATTCAGATATGCAATTTGGAAACATTAAGCTTGTTATTTAGTTATTTAAAAGGTAGAAAGCGACGATGACTTTGTCAATAATGTAGCTTTAAGAATAATGTTTCAATCAAAACTAGTTCAATCGCATGTTAACATGTCAATATTGGTTAAGAAATGAAGTCATGACGGACAGTGTATTCTCGCACCTCAGACAGAGATATCCCTTGTTCTGTTTTGTCGTTATAGGTATAGTTTTGATGTTGTTAGATATTTGATGTTGTAGATAAAATATAATCTACACTGTGAAATACGATGTAATCTATGTAAGGACGGACTCATTCAAATGTAACTTAAGTAGTGAAGAGGTAATTATCATTAGAGGCCCAAGGCGGGATACTTGTAGTTTTTAGCAAAAATGAATAGTTCTTTCCGAACTAAAAGGTTCGAGAGAAAAAAAATCAGTTTCCTGTAACTGAGCGAGATCGGGTTATCTCAGCCGAGGGTTCCGTATCTGTAACAAAACCCCAACCGAGGCGTAAACCGAGGTTGGGATGTTGCAGAATATTAGCCCGAGTCTCGGTAACCAGATCTCGCTCAGTTACAGGTAAAAGAATTTATTAGTATATAACCTCCCCTCCCTCACTATGACTATGCTTGGGAACCAATCCTGACATGCTTTGGGTATTAATATAATTTTTAGGGGTTTAAATCAACAATCAGTGAATCTCGTTTTTTACTATCATTGGGAGATTTAACATCAAGCATTTTACTCAACCATCGAAATAAGTCCAAATATACATCATGTTATTTGATGTAACGGTTGAGAAAACGTCATTTTATTCTAAGCGTTTCGGACGCAGAATATTATAACCTCTGAGGGTTCATGTTTAAAGACACTAGCATAGGCCCTGTGTACAGGTCAGTTCACTGTCCGTGAGTAGATATGTTGATAGGTGGACACTATACGTACTGTATACTGACCAGTAGGTGGACAGGGACAGACAGCAATGACACCCCGCCCGTAAAACATTCTATTAACACGACCATTACACCATGTTATATGTCATTATTACGTCCCTTGTGTGTCCTGATCGATTGGTCAAGCTGACCACTCACGATAGGTATGTTCAGGTTGTGGTGACTATTGATGATATGGCCATTTTTTTAACAATACACACGGCACTCAACAGAATATCATATCAATTGGTAGATCCGTTACTGTTAAAAAATAATAGTGAAAAAGAAAACAAATCTCAAATTCGAAAGACCCTATATTGAAAGCTATCAAAATTGATGAGTCTTATTACCATAGAAAGTCCTTACAGTCAAAACTAAATGAACCTCATCAGAAAACATCATGCTTCAAACTTGGCTTGAAGTCATATCTAAATGCATGTACTATTTAACATTTCAAACTCCGTGGCAGATATGTTTTTTAAAACTAAACGGTTATCTTATCAGATGTAAAATATATATTGGCTTTATTATATATATAGCAACTTTTATTCGTGTCACCAAACAAATATGAGTTTGATGTTTTCAAGATCAAGATCAAGTATGAAATTTTAATTTCACAACAATTGGTAGCTGATGAGGTGCTCCTATAATACATGATGGAATTCCATAATTGTTTACAACGTCGACACTACTGCACGAAATTGTACGTGGTTTTAAAGCAGTGTAAGTCTGACGGAACACCAAACACAATTGCTATCTAATTTAAACTGTATTTACATAACCAAGTCGTCCCATGAAAACACAAGCAAAACTGATATAAATAGTGCATTAAAAAAGCTCCATTCGACCGGCACAATTCGATGAGAGACCCGTCAACCGTTTCTCGTACAATGCTTTGAAAAATACCGAGAATCTAACATAACGTTTCACCTAATTTTTATGAGAAGACTTAATTGAAGCTAATTTTTGTATATCATGTATGCAATTAATGTTCATGTTATGATTAGGGCCTTTTGTAATTTTGAAACTTCGTGAATCCGTACATATAGTTGATCATTAGAAAAACTAGCAAACATGCGTTGAAACGAGCAAAAATAGCGCGTCGACAGTGAATGACACCGAATGACAAAATGGCAATTTTCAAAATTGAGTATATTTTAAAATTTGATTTTATTAAGCAGGCAAAATAAACTTTGACTAAAGATTGCTGAGAACATTCTTACACAAGTTTGGAAATATGTACCGACATTTTCTCTATCGAATAGAACTAATGTCGTATATTCAATGACAAAATAAACCCGCCATTTATAACATCGTACCTAATACAACTTTTACCACACTCTCTAAATGCTGGCCTATGATCTAGGAGCTACACTAGTCTCTACGGTTCTCGAGGATGTGAAAATTCCTCAACCATCAAACTAGACAAGCTACAAGCCCCTAAGTTGTTGTTGGGTTTTTTTTTAATGTGCAGCTGCATTCTTCCACAAGCATGTCTTCCCTTTGTTTGAAACTTTGATTCAGACATCCAAGTGATCAAGATTATGAAAGTTTCACTTCAGCTGTATATATAGTGAAGATTCTAGACACGTGACCAAGTCTACCATCAAAGAACTTAATTTTCTTTTTCTCTGATCTGTCGACCACCGTGAGCATCACTTTGTACATAGCAAGATAAAACACGTACAACAAAATCCGAACAATTCTGCATTTTTAACTGTAAATGTGTCAATGTATTGTGAAATGAATAAACTGTAGGCTGAATAGGATGTAACTCATTTTGATCTTAACAGAACAACTGAATACAAAAATATGTTTAAAACTGTGAAATCAAGGAAATGACGTGGTTAAGTCATTTGTGTTAACGCACACAGGGACCTGATAATCTGTTATATTGTGTACCTATCTTATTTGTAGGGATTGATATTAGACATATTAAGGTTCAGATCAATATCTGTTAAAATGCTACCACAATGATTAAAAATACCACTTTTACCGATTGTTAAACTGTTAAAACGTCTCATATATTACTAATGATTTGGTCTTTTGATATTAACATTTTTTCAGGTCCCTGTGGTAGCAGAGACTAAAGCTAATATATATGTTATAAATGTATCACAAAACACAATGAAATTTTGACAAAATCGATCAAGATTTCTAAACGATAAGAGTATGTAAAATTGAATAAATAAATTTAAATTTCTTACATATATAATATCTTACCTTAGACGAGAAAAGCAATTATTCCTAAACCATTACCACAAATGTTACAATGCTGTTCTGTACCACGCCGCTACCGTCGACGATTTTGAGCAGTTTTATAGTGTAAGAGCAGTAATGTAGCTTAACCTGCCCCGAAACTTGGCCCCGTCCGAGGGAACCTTTGATGCGGTATCAAGACTGTAGTTGATACATCTGTCTGTGCGACGTCTAACGACACGCCGCTGGGCACTGCAAAGTGACGTCACACAGGTAAGAACTCCCAAAAAGGCACCAGGTGACATATATCTATTTATCTGAGCACTAGTAAGTTTATCTGGAAAAACATCATAAGTGATTTTTTCGAATTGTTTATTGGTAGTTATGTTTACGTAGGGTTTACATGTAATTAATCCTGGTTTAACAAGCAACCCTGCTGTACACCTGTGGAAGTTATTATGTGTCCGGAACGTTTTACACGGGGATTAAGAAACACTTAGCATATCTAATGGGACATGCCAAACAAGAAATGTTGACCCCTGTCAGAAATGGTCCATTTATCTTCACCTGGGCATCAGAACTTATACCTCTGTACCTTACCCGCGGCTAGAGAGGGAGATCTGGTCAAGTTTGATGGACATAGCCTCTTCCAGCAGACACCTGTCTATGTGTGGGTCGTCGCTAATTTTGTCTTGTGATGTTTAAACAGGCAACACCTAGGGTGCTAAATTACAGTTACAGTACGTTCCCCCGCAAAATAACTTGTTATTTTAACATTACAACTCCGCCATTTCCTCCTCGAGCTGAAACGCCTATGTCTGTTGCAAGTGAATTCGCTTTTTCCGATTACTCAATTGATATTCAACGTAATTTCATATTTTGCGTATCTTATTTTATGACACTTGCCAAGTCGTCCCAGGAAAACACAAATACATCTTGTGCCAGTTTCACGAACGTCCCTTAATTTCAGAGAATTCCTTTACTTGTTTTTTTTTTCATTGGCAAGCATTAATTGAATGAAGGAAAAATCTTTAGGATGTTTTCCTTATTTCAGTGTTGACATATAATGGAAAAAACTTGGTATATTTCCTTAAGTTAGGAGCGTTCGTGCCACTGAGGCCATTTAAAACAATATTTGAAATCCCCCATCTACGACTAATAAACATATGCGTACTTCGTTCACAAGGATATTTAGAAAATGACTTTGTGGTCGCGTGACGCAGTGGATAGCGCACTCGCCTTTCACAGAGACGGCCGGGGTTCGATTCTTAGGAGTTTTGCAGAAAACACTCGCGTTATAATGTCACTTATTCCAGTTGTAATCTCGCTTAAAGCTGAATGATTTAATGTCACCTTTGGGGTTTTACTTTCTTTATTTTTTTCTTTATATTTCCCTCAATATATCGTAAATCCTGATTATAACTACTTCGACTTGTAAGACAAATTGGGCACTTGTTACATGGGTTCGTGGTATTAAGGTTATTGTCACCGACGATCGTTGGATTCCGATCTGTTTAATATTCATGGGTCTACAAGTCCAACAACCGAGATCGGCAGACAAGGGGGAAACGTGGCCACATCCGTGTTCCGAAAATGAGGTTACACACAGATCGATACATGCATTTGTAAAGTGTAAACTAGCGGAAAGCAGTCTTCATCGCAATTCGGGAACGCACGTAAGCCCAAATATTTCATTTCAAAAGGGAGCTAACTCCAAACCATTTCTCTTTGAATTACGGCTTTTAAATTATATCCTACATAGCTTCTGACTAGATAATCATCTTACGTAGAGACGAACTAACGTCTTACTAGGGAGACTCCCTGGTCCCGTCATCATAACAGCTGTAAAAGTAATTACTTTATTATGAATTTTTGGTCACTGTTATTCTGTCACATCTCGCTTATCTCTGACCATTTGTTGACCACCCAGATGATGCATCTGTCTCCTCGGTCGACATCTCAGTTCATCTAACCACTCTCGGATAATTTCCATTTATTCACTCCCACTCGGTAAAATATAAATGAAATCTGTCAGAAGACCAAATTCTTCCCTCTATATGCTACTTATATATGGCATTGTTTTACAAAGAACAATTATTTATGAAATAATTTGTAATGTTTTATTATAATAAAGTTATATAGTTTCAAAATATCAAAAGTGACTCAATTTGAAATCTCCCAGTGAGATTTTCATTTTGTTATAACATATAAACTGAATTCGTCTATTGTCACAGAAATTGTTTTTGTTTTTATACGACCGTCAAATTTGACGGTAGTATTATGGTATGGCGTTGTCCGTCCGTCCGTCCAGCGTAAACTTTGTTTGTCCGGCAATCTCCTCCTACAATTTTCAACTGATCTATTTGAAACTTGGTATACGTTATAATCATGATATGAAGTTGTGTCTCCCTTAAAAGAATTTTGATTCGACAATTTTTCCAAAAGTTATTGCCCTTTGTTCATTTCAGTATTTTATTTTTTTTCTGAAGATTTTCTCCTACATTTTTCATAGCATATCAGCTAACCACTCTGAGAATGATGCAGATCTTATTTCATTGTAAGAAAGAATATAACACTATATGGCATTCGACGGGCGTATTTTGTTCCGCCCCGCGGTACTCTTGGTGGTTTTTTTAAATCGCCCTGTAGCCCTTTTCTGTGTTCGTGTTGTTACTGGTATGCTTATTTTAAAATACGTAAATCGTCTGGCTAACAACGATGTAAGAACTATTAAATGCTGTGATCATATTTTGTTGTTATTTTCCAAATATCCCTTTGCTAATAAAAAGTGGGTTTGTCTCCTGATTCGTTATTAGATGTATATATGGTTATCTGTTATACTACATGGTTATCTGTTAAACTACAGGGTTATCTGTTATACTACATGGTTATCTGTTATACTACATGTTTATCTGCAAAAGTCTAATTATCGAATTTTAATTCTCGTAATCAAGTAGTTGTATAGCAATCAGGAAATAAAGAACTCGCGAGAATAAAGATGTATACATCCATGTCTAGTAGCGAGCCATTGCGGTTAACCATATTGATCTAACTCGAGTTATTTTTTAATTGATATTAACTCAGACAGCTATATATGCTTACGTCTTTTTTTACCCATTATTTGTCATGCCTCGATGTTTTGGTATCTTTTGAAATCTAACCACTTGTAAAAATCAAGCAATCAATATGGTACTACATCGCGGAGGAATTTCTGTGATGTAGGAGTAAACAGTCAAAGGGCGCTAATCTCCAAGCCGTCACGTTCTATAATTAAGGTTTCAACCAGTCCAGGCAACTTTTTTTCTTTTTTTTTTTAATACTGCCGATTAATGGGTAGCCTTCGGGTTCATAAACAGTCACAAGCATGTTGAAGTATTTGGAATGTTCATACATTTTTGTAATGTTAGAGCGGATGTGTTAATTTAACTTTTTATAACTTTCCGCATGCTGTATAATTGTCATAAAACGATTTACTTCTCCGATTTTGTTAACTATATTCTTAAAAAAATATTCCAAACATGCACGATATGCCTTAAGACACGTTGTGAAATGAATGAGTATTATTTCTATGAATGATGATCATACTTACCGAAAAATGTTTTAAAATCCACCAAAATGTAAATAGATGTAAATGGTTTCCTGTAGTTCCCTCCAGTACATGCGAGTCAAACGAACAATCCCTTCCTTTCTGGTGCCGCATGCGGCGTGTTTTAACTTAACTTTAGACAGAATGTTCAGACATTGCTACTATACTATTCTACAAAACACAAGTCTCTGTATATAAAATAGCCAGTAAAATTCGTTTGATTATCTTTTGTTGCCTGTTATATCCGTACACCGTTGTTATAATTACGGGGTGTTAATTACGCTACACGATGAAGTTATACGTGTCTGTTGATGAGAGTACCGGTTACTGTGGTGGCACGAAGCGTATTTTGTTTATATACACACTGCGTGACTTTATCGTTCGATTTGTCATGCTAACGTATGTGTTACACTGCTTTGGTCATTTACGTCAAAAATGTGTTTACAGTCCGGCTGTGGTCGTTCGGACGTACGCGTGCACGGACGTGGTCAATCTCCTGTTGTAATACGCTTGAATGCTCAAACTACTGTCATGTCTTGAAAGCTTTGTTTACATCAAATTCTGGTTTTCTTTCCTTACCTTTTGATCATGATGACAATGGCTACTGGTGGAGACATATCTTAATACAGACACTCTACCAACTCCCAAGTTTTTATGAAGAAATTCTCAACTGCATTTTACTACTAGCTTATCTCCCCTTGTTTAGAATCAGACATTTAAATGATTAAAATTATTAGAGTTAATTTTTATCTAAATAATTTAATATCTATTTAATATTCTAGAGACGAAGGCCAGTCTAATATCAATAGTGTAATTTTACATATTGGTGACGGCTTAATGACGTCATAACAAACAACTATTGTTAGAACCAAAAACAAACAATACACTTGAAAAAAAGGGTGACATTTTTTTGTCATCTTTCAGCGTTTCACTTTCAGTGGCTATCGATTGATATCTGTCTCGTGGTGACATGTGATACAAGATGTAGCATCCTAAACTTAGTTATAGCTTTGATTGTCTGTTAGTGTATACCAGTCATTGACTGAGAGAAATCGACACGGATCGTGCATATTTAGTATACCATATTAAGTTGTCTCAATGTGAAAAAGAGCCAATACCGAGCCAATACGGAAGTGTTAAGAAAACTATAACTCAAAATATACAGAACAAGAGTAAAATTTATCGAGGATGATATTTACAACGAGACATTTGAAAAAGTGCAGGGACAATAAGACCAGATGTTCCGGAAGGGTAAGCGTCTTCTGCTTCATCGACGTCAACCGTCATATCAATCTAAGTCAATTCCAAGTAATGGCACGTCTGTTACGTTGTTGTTTGACTCAAGTAATTATCGAATCAGGATCGTATACCGCCGTGTTCCATACAGAGTTGACAAACACATGTATCTTGGTCAGCCATCTTTAATACCCACAATTCCAAGGGTCATACTTAACACAAGCAATATACATTGAGCGGTAAGTGAACCTATATTCTAAAGGTGCTTCAAATGAACCTACGTTACAACGTCTTCACATTGAGACCTCGGGTAATGACAACAAAAACACAAGGTTCACCAATGAGCGTTACTATAGGAAGCTATTGTTTGGCTCGTTGGTATGTTTAGTAATATGTTATTTTATAAAGATAATATAGTAGGTCTATGTAATATAAGAGGTGTCAGCATTGTTCTCTAGTTTCTTGTACATTGTATATAACTATACAACAAAAGTAATATAATAGATAATTTGTAATGAATGCCGGATGATACAAAATGGTAAAGTTAAGACTATGAACAAAAGGACTCTTTATATTTAGGAAAGATGTGTTATTTAGGTGATATAAATTAGCCAAATAGTTGGAAACTCTGCAAACAAAAGGAAATTAAATAAATGTATTGCTTACAGCTACCAAGAATTTGTACAGTTGACATACATACAAATTGCCTTATTTATCAAGGTATCATTAGTTCTACAAAGATATCACTGAAGGCTGTTTCTAACATGACTATATGTAGACAATCCTGATATCCCAGTTAATCTAGATTTTGTTTCTCAAGCACAAATAAGGAGCGAAAGTGTTCTACAGTATTCTATACTAAAATAATTCAAAATCGCCTGGCAAAATGAGGTGGGGATGTTGTAATCGATTTTAACAAAGGATCTATGGAGGAAAATAATTATGTACCCTTCCTTTTGAAAATTTAAAACATAAAACAACAACTGCTTCAATAGAGAACCAATCATTACATTTTAACAACTAACTCATATTTATATAAAATAAGTCTTGTTGATAGTCCATACTGCTTTCATTGCGAAACTGAAACTAACGTTCATGCATTATGAGATTTTAAAGAAGTACATTTATTTTTCACAAATTCTGAATCACTGCTGGATGTGCTGTTAATTCAATTTTCCGTTTATTTAAGAATCTTGAAACTTATTGGTTTCTGTTACAGAAAAAAACACCAATATTGATAATTGAGTTATTCTTATCCAAAACTATATATGTATCAGATGTCTGTAAACTGGTCTATGAATTTTATATTTGAAAAAACTTAATGAAAGACTCCAGCGATATATCTGAAAGATAAAAATATTGTCAAGCAGGAACTCCATCATTCTCACAATTTCATCCTCAGCATGTTTCATCTTCGCCTTTATCTTGTTTTTCATTAAGTGTGCTCTAAATTCTGAATTTAACAACCATTGAATAAAACATTTTTCGTAATAGGAAAACAAAGGTATTCCTTAAGCCTGGTATGAGGTATAGTAAAGAATAAACAAAATAAAAAATTAGGTAAAAGAAACATTTTTGTGGAGTGGATGCTACAGTTTGATAAAAAAGATCTACATTCCTTTTATTCCACTTATACAGTGTCATAATTTCATGATAATAATAATGGTACAGTAACGTATTTTTTTATTATAGATTGGTTAAGCAAAAAGCAGAAAAAAATGAGTAAAAACGTTGTTTACATAGATTCTTGTTAAGGTTCGGAAGATAAACACACGAGATGGGTCCGTATCCATATCAACACAGAACATGATTAGCTACATGTAATATTTCCTCTTTCGTAATATTGGAAAATGTGTTCTTATCGTTGAGTGTGATTTGGATGTCGGGGTTAAGAAATACAAAGATATGTTTTGTTTTCAATAAGGAAATCAAGATGCGAATTCCTTTTTGACGTGATAGATTTAACCCACTCTGAAAGTGAATGAAATTTAGCAGTGTTCCGAAGAAACCGTCAGTATCTTACAATTACTAAAGACACTCATGAAAAGCTCTCGTAGCTTTGCATTATGGATAATATCTAGATCGCTAATTATATGTTCTTCATACCCAGCAGGACCATAGGTGTATGTGGACGGAAAACAAGAACATGCTGGTCACCTAAATTCAGCAGATGTAGCTTTTGCATGTAGCTGAAAAGCTTTGAAGCGATGGGTTAACATCAACAGTAAGTACTGTTATTCGACACTATTTCTCCTGTACGTCATTCGAGACTAATTCTACACAACGTCTACCGTCGCTCGACGCTAATTCTACTGTACGACACTAGATACTAATTCTACACAACGTCTACCGAGACTAATTCTACACAACGTCTACCGTCGCTCGACGCTAATTCTACTATACGAGTCTCGAGACTAATTCTTAACTCCTACTGTCACTCGAGAGAAATTTTACACACCCTACCACTCCCATTCAAGCAACGATATCAGTCACCTAGCTGAGTCACATTTACAATCCGAATAACCCCCATTAATTTTGTCGCTAACTCGCTGGAAAAATGATAGGTTAGATAAAAAATATATCAACATGCTTTTGTAAAATTACATCGGTACCTGGGAAGGAGAGGTCAAATTGTGTAGTTTATTATTTGTCTGTACTAATTATTTAACTAGTATGTAATTTTCGCTAGGTGAAGCAGATCGCCAGTGGTTGACTCATACATACAGAACTCATGCGCAATATTCATAAATCCTGGACTTTTGTTACTACTGAAATGTGACGTCATTTACCTTCGCACAGGACAATTTGTCCAGTTTATTTATACTTACAAAAGAGTTAAAAATTAACGTTATTGAAACAAATCCATGGATAAATACTTGTGGGAGTTTTGAATTCACCCTCAACTTTCCCTATTCACTTAAGGAGAACTAGGGATTTTATTTTTAAATATTATTGATATTTTTTTTATTTTTTTTTATATATTATTATAAAGCCACGATGGCCAAGTGGTTAAGACGTCCTTAAATGACCATTCCGTCTTTGCGTATTGCAGAGTTATTTTCTCTTGTGAGCAGGTATTGATTGTTACGTCATTGGTTTGTGAGAGTAACGTCATCAATTTTTGAGAAAACGACGTAATTTTCTCACATAAACCAATGACGTAACAATCAATACCTGCTCCCAAGAGAAGATAACTCTGCAATACGCAAAGACGGAATAGCTGTTAATAGCACGTAAAACACTGACAAACCAAACCTTTTAATAACATTATTATTGGGGTTTTGTTTATAAATGGAGGACAGCAAGGGTTGGGGGCTCTGGATTCAAGTATCCTAAAATCCCCTCGTAGGAAGAGTTATACACCCCACTCTCTTGCATACACTATTCATTTATGGTTTTATTTGACGGTATGTTAATATATTCATTTTTGTGTTATTTATTGCAATTTGTTGTTGGTTTTATGATATTAGACCTACTTATGTTTTTCACCTACCTCATCATAACTCCAGCTCCTTGCTATCAGTGAAATGACAAATCATTGAATAACACTAACATATAACTCGGTGTTGAACCGCTCTAGTTGTTCGTCATCTCAACCCTCTATGCACTTACTCCTGATTTATATTAAAGCCAAGCCGACGACTAATGAAATGTAAGGACTATGCTCTAATAAATGTATATAGTGTGCACGTGTTTGTTATGCAATTTGATCTGTAGTGCTTGCTTGTTGTATAATATATTGAAATACCTAGTCTTATTTTGATCTTATGTTTAAAAAATTCCCCTTAACATTATCTTTACTATTCCTTTATCATGTTCCAT